GTTTACTTTAAAATTATATCGAAGGTGATAAAACCTTAATATAATTTGTTGACTCATTCCTTCTAAAAAACTCATGTTATAGTATTTTTAGCAAATGTCACGCAAATTGTGGACTGACACGCACCTTTACTTGTGGTTTAAAATCGCGTCTGTTTTTAACGTAATATTTGTAGGTTATAATCAAAAATGTAGGTATAAAATTGTGAACAATCAAATCTTGCAATTTGTTTAAGAAAATCCATAAATTGACTAAAACATTGCCCAGTAAACAACTGATCTGTGGCATAATCTGATTTCTGGATACAGACAGTAACGTTACGATTAAGACCATATGATCGAACAAAAAAATCCTCCAGTAGGCCATGAAATTAATTTTTTAAATAATGATATTGACAGCGCGTTCCTTGTTCAATTGATAACTGTCAAATAAAGTGTCAAATGGGTGCAATGCCAACATCAACATCTCAAAAATTGATTTCATGGCGTACTAGACAACTTTTTTTCATCATGATATTACATTGTACATAAAAATTAATATACTCTCTACGCCCCTAAGGTACAGTTGAAAAAATACAACTTCTTCTAAAAATTATAAAAGTTAAAATAAAGATATATCTGGACTATTCACCATTTATTTGTCAAGTAAGCAATTATTAGGTTAACACATGTCCGTCAAACCGTTCGCAAAAGTGATTTCAAAGACACCTTCTATTTTCTAATCTAAAATGTAAAAAGCGTTTTGAAACTATGGAAAAATTACTAAAAATGTAAGAGTTTCTTTTGACAATTCCCACTTTTATTGAACACAACTGTATTTAAAGTGGATAGATAATCAACGGAAAAAATATATTCTCAGTACAGGCTTAACAGTTTAACTTCGACTATTTATGTTCATAGTTCGAAAGAATTCGACCATTAAGCACGTACAGACAGCCAGAATCGGCGGCAGTCGGCAGCAGATCAAAGTATGCATTTGTGTTAAAAGACAATGAAATTTGATTGTCTCCTTCAAACAAAGGAGAGAACTAATCTCTCTAACTAAATATAGGCGGGGGCAACATTACTTTAATCTCAAATTTTCGAAAAAGTGGGCTGACTTGATCAATAAAAAACATTTTTACGATACGACCACCGAGCTTACCACACGTCAGTGCGCTTAATAGACTGACATAAAATGTTAGGATATTTTTACGAAAATCTGGATCCCTAGGGTAAACGATCAAGGTGAATTCATAAACCACAAGTATAGGAGTATGTTATTTTATAAAATTTAAATGACGTTTACTGAACAAAATTTGAAAGGACGTCATCAAATTATTTGTGGGGATGATTAGCCAAATTTTTGGTTACCATTTCACCATCTAAGCGATATTCATAATATAGCTTCGAAGATTATTTGTTTATTAACAGACGGCGGATGGACGGCAGACAGACGGATAAAACATGAAAGTAGTCAATCGCCCGATGGCCCCATTACAATATTTCCTTAATTTACGCTCGGGAAGGAAAAATCCAGAAAATATTAAACAATCTCTGTTGAAAAATGTTAATTTTATCAACTAAAAATAACAAAAAAAATGCAGTAAAACTATTGTGTCTCCAAAATCTTATGGAAGAAATGTATCATTAAACTCGCATGAAAAAATTGGTCTAAAGATATTCAGACAAAACAGTTTTTTCGAAAAAGATTTGATTTTGCAAAATTTTATTTATTTTATAACCTCTACAAGTAAAAAAATGTATAGATAATACTTAACCAACTCGCCCACTGGGTATTTGATGCATATGAGCGAGGTATTGACTACATGAAATACGTGGAAAACATTACAAAAAAAAAATGTGTGCAATAATTGTGATAAAATAAAGGGAAATTCATAAATCACGAGAAGAAGAGTATGTTATTTTATAAAATTTACTAAACAAAATTATGAAGGGATGTCATCAAATTGTTGGCGGAGATGATTAGATAAATTTTAGTTAGCGTTTTACATTCTACATGATATTCTTAAATTATATACAAAATTTGACAATCGATCCAGTAGTTTTAGAGATTCTCTGTCAAAGAAAAATCAACACAGTACACTAGGGATCATGAAACGTCGAGAAAACATGAAAGCAGTTTCAAAGTAACATGAAATTGGAACTAGGAACTTACATGTGCCGAGAAAAAATGTAAATGTACAAAATCTGTTTTCGATTTTTGATTTTCGCGGCGAAGTTCCAATTTGAAATAAAAAATAGACTGAAATCCACATGATTTACGATGTTTATTATCCAGGGATTTGAGAATTATACACGGCTTAAATAAAGCCACGAATGTCACGCAATACCTCAATACAAAAAATATGACTTTTGTAGCTTAAAAAATAATAGAATGATTATAAAACAATTGAAATTTAAGTTTTTTAGAGTGGAAATACTTTGAGAAGGACATGAATAAAAAATCCACTAGCAAATTCAGGGGGAGAATTTATGTCGTTCTACTCGTAATTCATTTCATCCAGTTTTGTTTCATTTTTTCGTAGTTTTTTTAGTTGGTTAACCTCAAAACAAGCATTTTAATTGTATCTAATCTAAACATATAAGCATATGAAATGTATTTGGAATTACCCCATTTCAGAACGCAAAAGATACGCCACTGGTTAAAGCCTACGTAACAGATTTTAATAACTCGATATGTTCTTCTCATAGTATTTCCACTGTAGTGTAGGAATGAATATACTCGTAGAAACCCTTGCTAATCATATTTGAAATCTAAAAGTATTGTTTTATTTTAGCTAATCTTTTAAACACTTAAATCAGTCTACTTTTCTGTTTAATTTTCATAGATGACAGATGTAATCTTATAATGCAGTGATAAGCGCCATAAATTTCAAGTTGTGATAAGTATACTCAGTGGCATAACGCTCGATAAAGTTTAACAGAATTTCTTTTCACCGACAAATTAAACTTTTATGAAAATTATTACCACCATTATTGTTACAGTGCATATAAAATTTTAACTATAACATTATTATGTACTTTGTTTATGTTAATCGCTTCCATATGTTGCATGACGACAGTTGAGATTACGACTTAGTACATAATGCAGTACCCACAAATTTGTTTGTTTTCAGGCATGATTTTTCAAAATATGAAACAAAAAATGTCAAAAAATTTTTCATCAATCCTTGAGATTTTGTTTCGGTTTTAAAGGATCTCAGATCTACAGAATATAACTGTTTCAATCTTTGATCGCGTACTTAACACAACAATTTTAATCAATCAGGACCAAATTTGACCAATTTTTTTTACCAAAATGAACAAAATGAAATGAGTTTTTTGGAAATTTTACCCTTTGGATTGTCAATAATTTGCCTCCAATAATCAGAAATAAAAAAAAACTAGTTGAATGTGCTGAACTCAGTTGTTCAGATAAAATCTGCAGATTTGAAAAAAGATAAGATATGTAAGTCAAACAGTGAAATCAGAAAAGGTGTTATTATTGTCCATGACATTAACTTTTATCACCACTGCCATAAAAACGTGAATTCCTCAGTTGCATTAAAAAAATTTAAAAAACCACTGAACTAATTAATTCATGCAACCATTTTAATAATATCTGTCAAAACAAAACACAAGTGAAGTTACGAAGAACCGCAAAAAATTTCATACACGTAATAACTAACAATAATACAACCGTGGATAAAATAGGAATGGTTCAATGTTTTCCCGATAAATTATGTACAGAATGCACACCCCCTGACCCTGAAACCCCATTCGCTATAACTCTGACTTACTTCCAAATTGATTCACTATTCACAGAACGCAACAATTATTAAAAATGTATAAATACCACTGGAACACTCGACGACACAAATTCACGTCCCTCGCGACTTACGAAAAAGGAAAACCATAATGAAATAATTAATTAAGTGGTCATTATTTTCCAAAAGAACCCCATATAAGCGCATCTTCCATGCAATCATGTAATTTATTTCATTAAATTAATGACGGGGTGAGGCGCACTTATCCAGACCAATTGCGTGGGTCAGGCCGGAGACATTTTAGGACATCCATGAATTAATTCTATAATTTTGATCGTCCTTGGTACCTAACTAGGGCCCAATTTAGCGGAATTATAAAATACTTATCAAATTAAGAACAAATGAATCTTGGCCTCTCCCAAGGGGTGTGTCTCTGATTAGTTCTACTTTTTAGTCACCGCCGAGACATTCATGGATGTATGCACAAAAATAAAAGGATCCTAATTTACAAGAATGAGTCACAGATTGGTCTTAAGTCAACCGTGGAGGACTATTTCCTGAAATCGCTCAGGAAGCTACGAACAAAATGATTATCACAGACTTACGGTTTGATAGTTGATTAAACACAAAAAGGAGTTAACACCGTGTTTTGTATATGTCGGTGTGTAAATCAAAACTATAATTATAAGCATACCGAAACGTGATTTAATAATACATTAGGATTCCGTGATTCCGTTCTTAGTTATCTGAGTGAGAAGATTGTTGCGCGTTACTTAAAAAATACAAATTTCGTTTTAATTACAGGCGTAACCGTGTAAACAGTTAAAGGCTGTGAGTAACAAATTTCAAAGACGTTTCGAGTGTTTTAAGTCACGCAACGGAAATTGTTGCTTGTATCAATTTCACCTGAAGGGCGATAATTACGGAAACACCGCCAAAATAAATAAACTTAAAGTAACTATCAAGGCGAAGAAAGAAATTCACTAACTTATTTATATTTATAGAGTAAGTTCGTTCACCGTCTGACTGCATCCAGAGACTCGAAGTGTGAAGGTCCCAATAATTAACTTGCAAATCATCATCATAAAACAGCAAAGTTTAGTCATAATCGAGCTATGCGTTTTTTATTTAATGTGTTACACAATTTTTTGCATTTTATTAAAGAGAACAGGTAGGTCGCGCAGGCTACGTTTCTGTCAATAATAATAACCACGAAATGTGAAATCAATATTGAATAATAGAAAAAAAACTCACCATTGTTGGTCTAGTTTTTCAAACTTCGTGCGATGCAACAGAAACGTCAGCTGATGTCCGCGATGCGACACCCGTTGAACAAAGTAATTTCATTTCGGTGCTCCACCGACTTATAACTGGCGCGCAATCTGCTAGTGCGCATGCCCAGAAGAACTGGAGTCGCCAATTAAACTATTTAGTGGATTAACTATAGATTGGCGGTATATTAAATTAAATGACGCTATTGAAATTACAAATAAAAGAATTCATTTTATGCTGTGCTGGATTCGGATCCAATAACTCTGCTGCTAATATGGCATGACAAATATTTAATTACTTTCGGGAAAAGTATCTGGATTGGAAATGCAATACCCAAGTTAGTGTATGGTTCTCATGTTTTTATTACAGCATTTATTGTTTTTTTTACATGGATAAATGGTAATTTATGGAATGTGCAAATCATTTATCGACATTGATTTGTTGTTAACTAGAGGAGATTGGGTGTGATTTGACGGCAAATTTGTTTAAACGATTTAAATTCGGCTTCGCAAATAGTCTGCATCGAATGCAGGTATTAACATGTAAACAAGTTATGGTCAAATTTGTATAAATAATTGTTTTAATGTTGTTACGTACAAACACGTACTAAAGAACGGTTTTAAAATTAATTTCCTAAAACGGGTAATTCTAATTTTGTATAAATACTAGTGTCAGTTTGGAAAATTTTATCTTTAAAATTATTTTTTGCATTCTACTTTTCACCATCATTACTTTTGTGTTTTTAAAGTTTTTCTACAAAGAGTCATTTTCATCATTTTTTCACTTAAAATTATTAATCAGTCCACTCCTCTGTTTAAGGAGACAAAATCAATCAAATTTAATTTTCTTTTATGCGTCTGGTGATGCTTGTACGTGATTAGTCAACTTCTTTCGATGTATAAACATAAGTACTCGACGTTAACCATGTAATTAAGAGTTCATTTTCTCGTTGGTAATCTGGTTTACAAGGTTTTAAAATTTCGGTATCCTAAGTGTCCAAATTTTAACACATTTTTCTATCTTTGATTAAAATTCTTATTTCATAAATAAGATAAATACCTAAGATATGGGAATAATTAAAAAAATTTGTTTTATTAGTTAATAAGTTAACCGAAGGAAGAGTTTCGCGTCTGGTATGTTGACATACTGAGTTACCGTGCTCTTTTGCCTTATTCTTAACCCTGCTCCTGAAGATGCCACTTACGAAAGTGTGAGAAACGTTGAGCCCAAAATCTCAATTAACACGATTCCAACCCACAAAAACGATCATGTATTGATTCCGATCGTGAAAGCCTCCGAAATTATTAGTTATCAGTATTTGCCAAGATAAAACTGATTTTGGCAAATGAGATACCCTCTAAGAAAAGAGAGGGTGGGTCGGCGGGGCTAGCACCTGCTAAAAAAATTGGTCGAAAGTTATTTCGACAGAACTTCCCCCGCTCCTGAAGTAGAATGAAACATCCAGCATTTTCGAGTTGAGTTTTTTCTTTACACAATTTTGTGACGACGTTATCAACATTTTTGCAAGGGCCCGTGTATCAGCTTGGATCGGTGCAGTGTAATACTAAAAATAACAATATTGTATTCCCAAAATTTTTTGGGAAAATGGAGTGAGCCGTTCTTGATGTAATCAATAAAATAAACTGTGTCCTTCATTAACTTTTTTGTACCACTTGTTTAAACGAATCTAAAAAATATTAATGCAGTGATAAATCATAAGTATAAACTCGTCATATTTTGCACATTTTGAGTAGAATTTATTCGACAAAATTTTGAGATGACGTCATCAATTTTTTTATAAGCAAATCTAAAAAATGAGATTCTTAATTTGATTAATAAAAAATTGGTAAGGACTATAAGTAAAATCTGGCAAATCCAGCTCTTTAAAAAAAATTATAAAATTTGATTTTACGATTTTCGTTTTGTAATAACCGCTGCCAAGTAAAAACCAGAGGCATAAATAACGCCCCTTGTCCTTCAGCAGTAGGTAATAGCAATCGGAAGCTCAAGTGTTTATTTATGTTTATACATCGAAAGAATGTCACGTAGAAGTTAGTCTGATTTGAATGAGTTTGTCTTCTCAAAACAGGACATACTAAAATTACTAATTAAACCACAATCGAGCAAAATGTTCTGAATATTATAATTCTTATTTTATCATTATTATACCAGGTTTCTGGAAAATGGCGGATTAACTCTTCAGTACGTTATGTACCCCCTTTCGGGAGTCCCAAAAAAATTATGAAAACATTCTTAATGATGTATATTACGAAAAAAACCCTAATTTTGTAAAAGTAAAATTGACAATACTACACGCATCTAATGCCTGAATACCTCCGACTTACTTTCTGATTACTTAGTAACGATGGTGACTGAAATCCACCTTTTATTTTTTTTAGGATAATAACCATAACAACCAGTAGTCATTAATCGTTGTGCATTATTATTAATAAAAAAAGTTGCTATTTTTCATTAATAAATAAACCAAAAAAAAACAATTAATAAGACATTTATAAATTATAAACAAAAACAAAACCAACAAAAGAAAAATTGGTCTAAAGAGTTTAGATAGTACTTCCCTCGCTGTCGGAAACGTGACGATTGCATGCCTATTATGTTTTTTTTTCGCAGTAGATTTCGAAGCATTCGGTTTTGTAGTTCCTGAGTAAACCAATAAAATAAATTTACACATTCATTATTTTTTTGAGTCACCCGGTATATGCAAATTCAAAAAATATGAATGGAATGATAAATTACAAGTATAGACTCATCATATTTTGTATATTCTAGATACGATTTATTTGGCAAACTTTTGAGCTGACGTCATCAGTTTTTTGGAGAAGATAACCAAATATATTTTGACTAAAAGTTTATTATGCTCTTTATAACGTTAAAACATCTGCAGGATTTCATAACATTCGGTTCTGTAGTTCCTGATTAAATCAATAAAATACATTTACGCATTCATTAATTTTTTGGGTCACTCTGTATATGCAAATCCAAAAAATATGAATGGAATGATGAATCACAAGAAGAGACTCATCATATTTTGTACATTTTAGATAGGATTTATTCGGCAAACTTGAGAGCTGACGTCATCAATTTTTTGGAGGGGATAAGCAAATATGTATATTTTGACTGAACATTTATTATGCTCTTTATAACTTTAAAACATCTGCAGATTTCAAAGCATTCGGTTTTGTAGTTCCTGAGTAAATCAGTAAAATAAATTTACGCATTCATTAATTTTTTTGAGTCACTCTGTATATGCAAATCCAAAAAATATGAATGAATCGATAAATTACAAGTACAGACTCATCATATTTCGTACATTTTAGTTAGGATTTATTCGGCAAACTTTAGAGCTGACGTCATCAATTTTTTGGAGGGGATAAGCAAATATATTTTGACTGAACATTTATTATGCTCTTTATAACCTTAAAACATCTGCAAGATTTCAAAGCATTCGGTTTTGTAGTTCCTGATTAACTCAATAAAATAAATGCAAGCATTCATTAATTTTTTTGAGTCACCCTGTATATGCTAATCGAAAAAATTTGAATGGAATGATAAATCACAAGAAGAGACTCACCATAGTTTGTACATTTTAGATAGGATTTATTCAGCAAAATTTTGTGGTGACGTCATAAATTTTTTAGGGGGGACGACCAAATATATTTTGATGAAAAACTTACTATGCTTATGATAATTTTAAAACATGTTCAAGATTTCAAAGCATTCGGTTCTGTAGTTCCTGAGTAAATCAGTAAAATAAATTAAGTACAGACTCATCATATTGCGTACATTTTAGGATTTATTCGGCAAACTTTTGAGGTGACGTCATCAAGTTTTTGGAGGGGATAACCAAATATATTTTGACTGAAGATTTATGATACTCTTTATAATCTTAAAACATCTGCAACATTTCAAAACATTCGGGTTAGCAGATTAAAAACTACATTGCAAAATGTTGTTTTATAATTTTAATTTTTTTTCCCAAAAACATTTTACCATCTACATCATATTCCTAATATAACTACAAAATTTCACAACAATCGGTCCAGTACTTTCGGAGACTATCTGTCTAATAAAAATCCGGGATGGCAGACAGACGGACAGACGGATAGACGGACAGACAGACGGAAATGGGAGACCTATTTCTTCGTCTTCTAGGGGTCATGAAAGATCGAGAAAACGTAAAAGTAGAGAGTCGGCCGACGGACTCGATTACAATACTTCCTTTGCTTACGCTCGGGAAGTAAAAATCCATTTAAGCATAACCAACTAAACACTAGAGAAGATGTTCAAAATTCCTGCCTTGTGTATATAAGTAAGCTCATAATGTTTCCAAATTTTGATCATCTTTTGTAAAGATAAAACTGATTTTGGCAAATAACATACCCTCTAAGAAAAGAGCGGGTGGGCGGGCGGGGCTAGTATCTGTTAAGATAAAACTAATTTTGGCAGATAACATACCCTCTAAGAAAACAGCGGGTGGGTGGGCGGGTTCTAGTATCTGCTAAGAGAAACTAATTTTGGCAGATGATATACCCTCTAAGAAAAGAGCGGGTGGGCGGGCGGGGCTAGTATCTGCTAAGATAAAACTAATTTTGCTAGATGACATAGCCTCTTAGAAAAGAGCGGGTGGGTGGGCGGGGCTAGTACCTGTCAAAATAAGATCGATTTTGGCAAATGAGATACCCTCTAAGAAAAGAGAGGGTTGATGGCGGACCTAGCACCTGCTAAAAAAATTGGTCGAAAGTTGTTTCGACAGAACTTCCCTCGCTCCTGAAGTACAACGAAACATCCAGCATTTTCGAGATGAGTTTTTTGTGATGCCGTCATCAACATTTTTGCAAGGACACGTATATCAACTTGGATCGGCGCAGTGTAATACTAAAAATAACAGTATTGTATTCCCAAAATTTTCTGGGAAAATGGAGTGAGCCGTTCCTGATTGAATCAATAAATTCTCTCATTCATTAATTTTTTTGGACCACTTGTTTAAGCAAATCTAAAAAATATGAATGCAGTGATAAATCACAAGTAAAAACTCGTCATATTTTGCACATTTTGGGTGGAATTTATTCGGCAAAATTTTGAGATGACGTCATCATTTTTTTTTATAAGCAAATCTAAGAAATGAGCTTCTTAATTTGATAAAAAAAAATTGGTCGACGGCTATACGTAAAATCTGGCAAATCCAGCTCTTTAAAAAAATATATAAAATTTGATTTTACGATTTTCGTTTTGTGATAACCGCTGCAAAGTAAAAACCAGAGGCATAAACAACGCCCCTTGTGCTTCCAGTAGGTAATAGCAATCGAAAGCTCAAGTGTTTATTTATGTTTATACATCGAAAGAATGTTACGTAGATGTGAGTTTGATTTTAATGAGTTTGTTTTCTCAAAACAGGACGTACTAAAATTACTAATTAAACCACAATCGAAGAACAAAATATTCTGAATATTATAATTCTTATTTTATCATTATTGTACCGGGTGTCTGGAAAATGGCGGATTAACTCTTCAGTACGTTATGTACGGGGGTTTCGGGAGTCCAAAAAAAAATAATAAAAACATTTTTAATGATGTATATTACAAAAAAAACGTAATTTTATAAAAGTAAAATTGGCAACACTGCGCGCACCTAATGCGTGAATACATCCGACTCACTTTCTGATTTCTTAGTACCTAATTATGGTGACTGAAATTCACCTCCTATTTTTTTTAATAACCATAACAACTAATAATCATTAATCGTTGTACATTATTTTATTAATGAAACAAGTTGTTATTTTTCATTAATAAATAAACAAAAAAATTGTATATTATGATACGAGTTTTATAAGAAGCATTTTGTCGCACGCATGGTTTTAGGGCACGACGAGAGCAGCGAGGAGTGCCCTAAAGGAATAAGTGCGACAAAGTGTCTTATAAACGAGTATCATACAGTATTTTTTCTACTTTGCCCCTTTTTCATAAAAACATAATCTGGTTATTTTCACGACAGTTGCCAGAACATACTTTTTATTTCATTAAACATTGAGGGTAAGTTAAAAGATGATAGACAGTTATAACTAGAGAGCGGAAAATGTGCAGCAAAATTTTGGGAAATATGATCATATGACATGCATCAAATTTATGCAAATATGCAATAACTTTCTTAATATATGCAGAGATATGCAGTTGCATATGCTCCAAAAATAAAAAAAAGCGTAATAACCGAACTAAATTTATTTACAAATTGCAAAAACACCTTACCTTTTATTACAAAAAATACATAAATCACATTGCAAAGTGTTTAATTAGATCTCACTGACAAATGACATTTTTTAAGATAATATTCTTATACTAAAAAATAAATATAGCTACACAGAACGAATTAAAAAATAGTAGTAATCGACTATTTAATTACTATTTTGGTAACAATTTATCTTTAAACATTTTTCCGGTGATTCTAAAGTATGTATTTGTAAATAGAAAAACTGCGTACTGCGTCCACAGATGTAAAAATACTTATGGATTAGAGCAGGCACAACAAAACACAGTTCCTTCTTGAAGAATAAGTTCATGAAAAGGTTTAATTCATAAATTAATTTGAGTTATCTACATATTGATACACCTCTATCGCTTTAAATACTTAAATGTAAACTCACGATGAAAAATAATAGGATAACGTCCCTTCGACCACCATAAAACATACCATTAATACACTTAAATAACGAACAAAAATATTGAAATGAACGGTATTTCCAAAAGTAATTAGGACCCGAATTTACCTGGAAGGATGGCTTAACACCCAGTGGTTCCTCCAAACTACCATAAGACCCAAACCTTTCCCAGTTATTTGAAGCTCAGAACAATATTTGCAATATGATTCATGAAATTTCGTCTTTCTAGAAAAATGCCGACCGAATGGCATTTTTTTTTTCAAAGTAGCACAAAAATTGATAAAAACGCAAAATATGCACCCGTTACGTGAAATATGCAGGAGAAGGCCAATATATGCAAATATGCAATTTTTTTATAGCTGTATTCATTTTTAATTAGCATGATTCGTTCACATATTAAATATCAAGACTTATATACAAAAAATAACGGATGTGCAAATTTCATAAAATCCGCTCTCTAGTTATAACAACTAGTAGCTAGTTTTTCCGTAATGACAACAGTAAAAAAATAAATTTGACTACGTTTAGTGTAATTGTTATAGCACCAAGTGTATTTATTACGACACGCGAAGTAGAAAAAAACATTTAATAAGACTTTTATAAATTATAAACAATAACAAAACTAACAAAAGAAAAATCCAACCAACTAAACACTAGAGAAGATGTTCAAAATTCCTGCCTTGTGCTTACAAGTAAGCTCGTAATGTTTCCAAATTTTTATAATTTTTGTAAAAGTTAGTCATCAGTACTTGCTAAACTAAAAAACTGATTTTGACAAATGGCATTCCCTCTAAGAAAAGAAAGGGTGGGTGGGAACGGGTTAGTACCTGCCACGTGCTAAAATAAGATCGATTTTGGCAAATGACATACCCGCTAAGAAGATAGAGGGCGGGTGGGCGGGGCTAGTACCTGCTAAAATAAGACCGATTTTGGCAAATGACATATTTTCTAAGAAAATAGAGGCCGGCGGGTGGGACTAGTATCTGCTAACATAAGACTGATGTTAGCGTACAATCCGTGGACATATAAAGCTGATATACTAAGAAAATTTTCCAAATGTGTATCAAGCTTGGTTCCCGGGACCGTTGTCGGGCAAATATGCGTTATCCATCTGTCATCGCACATAACATCAACGTGAAAAAGATAGATTTACACAAGATAAATTTTTCATTTCCCTATGATTTTTATGACAGTTTGTACCAGTTTTATATGTCCACCGATTGTAGCTCTAAGAAATTTAATTAAATTATTATAAGAAAAGACACTAGACTAGAGACTCCAAAGCAGTTTCAAATTCTTTGCAAACAGGAATACCTAGAACCTCAAGACTGTTTTAAATTAAAAAAAAAAACGAGGCCCCAAAATTAATTCAATGAATGTGTTGTTTAGTGGTTAAACGTAGCAAAGGAACCAATTTTAAAATCATATTATAACTCCACCAAAATGTGAGAAGGAATTTTTTTACTGTTTTTCCCAGACTCGCCAGTTGATTGTTAAGAGCGTAGCAGAGAGTTAATCCGCAATTTTCCAAACACCCGGTATAATCGATAAAATAAAGCGAGATTCATAGTTATTTTTTTATATTCTGTGTAATTTAAAAAAATAAAAGTACCCAAGGAATACCGCACCTCAGAATGTATTCGTGAATAAAATTATATTTAATCATTTTTATGTGATGACATCATTAACTCTCATCAGTAAGGGATGAATAAATAAATTCCTACCTACGACAGCATACTTATATGCTTTATGTTGTTTTATCTGTTTGTTTGGACCTTTTAGGGTGTGCTTGTATGTATATTCTAGCACTTTACTGTAACTTCATTTGAGATACACCTGTTAAAACTTTTATGACTTAAGCTGCTGAAGCCAAACCACCCTTATAAGTCAAACTGGCTATTGTACTACTTAACTCAGTTCACAGCTACATTATGCCAACAATGTACAGTAATAATCTTGCGGTGCGGGTCCACAAAACTTACAATAGCCAGTTTGACTTATAAGGGTGGTTTGGCTTAAGCCGCTTAAGTCATAAAAGTTTTAACAGGTGTATCTCAAATAAAGTTAGTATACTTGTTGTAAGCCAATAAATAGAATCAAAAACAACTTTTAAGTAATATTTATTTAAAAAATATATATTTACATTACAATCAACTAATGTAGTTTTCAATAGTTATAAAACAAATATTGTTTCGTAAAAAATTAAAAATTACAAATAAATAGTAACTTGAAACTTCACGGCCTTACAATAAATATTACTTCAACCTCACTAGCCTACACTATAATAATATCAAAGAGGCATCCCGTATTCGTAAACACAACCCTTCAATTTTTATGGCTCGGTTTCCACCGCACCGTATATGGCCTATAATCCTGCAGACTCTCCTTTTCCACCGTATCTTTAATCCATTCAACAATAATATGCCTCGCACTGTTAACACACAACATAGTCGGCTCAGATACCGTATCCTTCAGATGCAAAACATGAGTAGCTTCCCCACGTTCATCAGTTTTCAAAACCGTCCCTCCGTAAGCAATAAAATACCGCACCCACTCAGCATGTCTCTCAGTAACCCCCTCCTCCAAATACAACTTAACACTTTCAAAATAATTAGGTATCGATTTTCGTTTTTCAGTCACTGGAACGGGCTCCACGTCACACGTAGTTTTCTTCTTATCACGATCTGCTTCTTTCACTTTTGCCTCAGTTTTCTCTGGTTCTTTTTCAACTTTTGTCTTTTTGTTCGCTTTCGACTCAGAATTCGACGCTTTTCGTTTGGGGCTGCGTTTGAGCGGCTTGGAGCTCTCGCGCACCTCAGTCGGGGGCTTCTCTTTCTTGGGGGGTCCGCCCCAACACGCATTTATCACAGTCTTGATGTCTCTACAGTTCTGGAAAATTAAATACGCGTCTGGATGTACACCTTCGAAAACATGTTTCGCACCGGCGTTCATGCGCAAATCGTGTTTAATCAGTCGAACGACGACTTTCAAGTCGTTCGAGGTGCATTTTTTGATAAAAGTTTTGAACTGATTGTATTGGTCTTCTTCTTTTGATAGAGTTGTCAACGTTTCGAGGAACTCGTCGACTTCGTGTATGGTTAGGGTGCTTTTTTTCACGGGTTTATATTCCTTGTTCTGTTCGAAAAAATATTGAATAGCTTGACCAACATCACCTTGCTCTAAATGCGCCATTATAGTGTCATCAGCGACATGAAAAATACGACTAAATATTTTAACAAGTTGCTTGGTTTGTAAATGAAAGACCCGTTTTATAACAGATGGAAGAAGAAGTTTACACCATAATAAAATATCACCTTTAAAACCCGTCCCATCACTCCCTTTTGTAAAAATATCTTTGAAAATGCTTATTTTTTCATTTGAACTGGATACATTTGACACATTAGCAACAATAGTACGGAATTCGCGAAAGCAGTTATCTTTGTGAACGCCGTCTTTAATTGTACTATCTGAAGACACACTCAAGGCGTCCTCATTCGTGATAAAACTCAACTGTGACTTATTTTTATTATTACCTCGTTTAGTCTTTTTCGAAGACTTGTGCAGCTTTGCCTCAAACGCTCGATTACATTCTTTTATCTTTTTTAAAATGTCGACTTTATCAGAGTGAGCGAGCAGCTCCCAACCTTCCACATCGTGTGGCGCCTCGATTCGTTTAGTCGTTTGTCTTTGTTTCAAGAAAACTTCAAATATACAGCCTACGTGGTGCCATGTTTTCATTTTACCTGACCCCAGAGGGTTTGGGATTATTTTGGCTATGCGTAAGTCGCCTTGAACGCATTTTTGTTTGCACTTTTTGCAAACGGCTCTACCTTGTTTGGCTATTTCTACAGAAAAGGGCTTCTCTGGAGATAAATCATCATCTGACATCTAGAATTGAGGTTAGGTAATAATTTCCACTTTTAGATAACAGGCTGGGCAACAATTAAATTAATAGCGTCTTACCTTGCCAATTTAATTGTTCATAGCCGTACGAATTTCTTTTTTATGGGGGCACGAGGCACAATTAGCAAAATAGAAGTACATTATTTTTGAAATTTACAGCTTCTTATTTGTGTTTTTGCAAAAAGTTCGACCTGGTTACGTAAGATGGCGGAAGAGTCAACAAGGTTGAAATTTATTAAAAACAATTTTTTATAAAAATGTATATACTTTTCCAGGAGCAAATAATTGATTTTAACTTATTCTTCGTGCAATGAAATATTTTATAGCGCAAATATGTAACAAAACTTGTTTCAACATGACATTGACGTCACGTGACGTATCTAACCTAAAAATTTGTATCGATTCTTTAATCGTTTTATTTTCAATTACCCCATCAGTGAAAATTACAGTGATTTCTAACTAATTTAATTAAATTTGAAGGTCACCCATTTTCGCGGTAAAAGGTGAGTTTCATTGTATTTTAAACAAATTGTTCGTAACCTAACCTAATTTTTAGATGTCAGATCATGAGGAGTCCGACGAAAAGCCTTTCGCAATCGAAATTGCCAAGCAAGGCCGCGCTGCATGCAAAAAATGCAAGCAAAAATGCACCCAAGGTGAATTACGTTTTGCCAAACTTGCTCCCAACCCTTTCGGCGCCGGTAAAATGAAGAACTGGCATCATGTAGAGTGCATTTTTGAAATATTTTTAAAACAAAGACCTACCACGAAGAGAATAGACGATCCAGAGGAAGACATCGAGGGATGGAACTCCTTGGACGACGACACCAAAGCTGACATACTAAAACGCATTGATGAATGCAACAAATTTTTTGAAACCAAATATGGTATTAAAGCGTCACCAAAAAAACCCAAAAATAAACCGAAAGAACAACAGGCTAGTGATAAACAGGTAGCGAGCACGAGTTCTGAAAACGCTCAGAAGTCTGATGCTATTCCTAAAGATAGCCAGTTCCGCGAATTTAGAAGATTGGTGGCTGATATCACCAATGTAAGTAGTTACCTTGAAAAAACAAACCTCGTGAGTAAAGTATTTACTAGAGGGAGTGACGGAACGGGGTTCAAAGGGGATGTGGTGCTTTGGTGCCGCCTATTGCTACCTGGTTTCGTCAAAAGAATTTATAACCTTCAAAGTAAGCAACTTATCAAACTCTTCAGCAAAATATTTCACACTGATCAAGACGCCATGTTGGAGCACTTAGAGAAAGGGGATGTCAGTGAAACCATCCAGGAGTTCTTTGAAAAAAGCAGATCATTTAAACCGTCAAAAAAGAGCAATTTGTCTCTACAAGACGTAGACGATTTTCTTGAAGAATTGTCAAAATTGACAAAAGAAGAAGAACAAATGGCACATCTCAAGTCTTTCTCAAGTAGATGTACTTCCAATGACTTGAAAATGATCATCCGCTTGATCAAACATGATCTCAGAATGAACGCCGGTGCTAAACATATCTTAGAGGGTGTTCATCCTGATGCATATCAAGCTTTTCAGTTATCTAGAGACATTAAGGCCGTGATCAATCGCTGTTTAGGCGGTAAAGGTAAAAGTTCAAAGGCCACCATTGAGTTAATGACCCCGGTACTACCCATGCTTGCTGAAGCTTGCAAGTCCGTGGAACAAGCGATGAAGAAGTGCCCCAACGGGATGTTCTCTGAGATCAAATACGACGGCGAAAGAGTACAAGTGCATAAACAAGGTTCCGAGTTTAAGTACTTCTCGAGAAGTTTGAAACCGGTACTACCTCATAAAGTAGCCCACTTTAAAGACTACATTCCTCAAGCATTCCCGCACGCGAAAGACTTGATTCTAGATAGTGAGATTTTAATGATTGATACCCAAACTGGAAAACCTCTTCCGTTTGGTACTCTCGGTATTCATAAGAAGTCGGAATTTAAAGACGCATCTGTGTGTCTATTCATCTTTGATTGCATTTATTACAATGGAGAAATTCTAACTGATAAACCAATAAAGCACAGAAAGAAGATTCTAAACGAGAATATGACCGAAATCCCCAATCACATCATGTTTTCGGAAATGGAGGAAATTCACGACCCGAAAGACTTGGCTAATATGATCGCAAAAGTATTAAAACTGGGTCTGGAAGGGTTAGTACTTAAAGATATGAAGAGTGTATACGAACCCGGCAAACGGCATTGGTTAAAAGTCAAAAAGGATTACCTTTTTGGGGGCGCAATGGCCGACAGTGCCGATTTAATAGTACTGGGTGCCTGGTACGGTACTGGTAAAAAGGGTGGCATAATGTCCATTTTCCTCATGGGTTGTTATGATGAGGACAGTGATAAATTCTGTACCGTCTCTAAAGTGTCCACAGGTCACGACGACAAAACTTTAGAGCGGCTACAAAGTGAGCTCGATATGGTCAAAATAAGCTCGGATCCTTCGAAAGTACCAGACTGGTTACGTTGCACCAAAACCATGATCCCGGATTTTGTTGCCAGAGACCCGAAAAGCCAACCCGTTTGGGAAATAACGGGGGCGGAATTTACCCAACACGACGTACACACAGCTGATGGGATTTCCATCAGGTTCCCACGGGTTACCAAAATCCGAGATGACAAAACCTGGGACACGGCCACAAGTCTCAAAGAACTTAAAGTTCTGGTGGCGAAATCGAAGGAGAACACGGACGTGAGTTTACTAATGAAGGGAGTGAAGGACGACGAAGTGGACGGCGGCACTTCTTCGCCCAAGAAGAGGAAACGAGGTGAATCTTCTAAAGCGAAAAAGCACTCTGATTCTGGTGATGAGGCGTCTCCTTCGAAAAAAACAAAAAAAGAATCTAAGAAGCAAACTGGTCTGGACGGTTTTGTGAAAACTTCGAAAAAAGGGACATCGGGCGATAATGGGTCACCCAAAGCGGACAAAGAAGAGTCGAAGAAGTACAAAAAGGTTGAAATAGAGAATCCGTTACCTACTTACTTTGAGAGTGTGAAGTTGTTGCTGGAAGATGACGTGAAAAGTGAAAAGTGGGATTTGATTAGATATTTTATAGCCTACGGTGGTGAAGTGTCGAAACGTGGGGATACGTCGGGAGTGACTCACGTGGTGCATTTAAATAATATGGTTAACAAACTGGGGTCACAAGATTGTGGATCAGGTGTCAAACACGTGACTGTTCCATGGATTAAAGACTGTGTTATACACGAAAGTGTCCGTGACACTAGACCATATGCGGTATGTTGGAAACCTAGTTAAGATGGATCTGTTGTTTACATACTCTAGAAACATTTTTACTTTTTATTTATTGTGTATGTGTCACGAACGGTATTAAACAACTATTATGTATATGTTGATTCTTGATATTTGTTAAATTTTGGTGTGTAGAATATTGTTTGTAATCTCATAAAACGACAATTGTTTAAACAAAAATTGATCACTACTTTTTCGTGGAATGAACAGATCTTCCGGCCGGGCAGTCCACGAGACAAGTGGATGATGTGCATTATGTAACAGTCTTTTCACCTCGAGGATAAGTATGTGTGGTAGCTCGTGAATATCGCAACAATGTAACGTTGAAACTGAGGAGAGCTCGACCGCCTTGACCAGAGACGTCGATCCCGTAGTCGTGATCTAACTAAAAGTTTCATAGGGAATGCCAAAACACTAAAAAGAACAATATGTACTTATCTCAGTCTTTCTTGACCGACAATAAGTAATGTTAAAGTTTAGTATGTCAGTGGATTGTACGAAGGTAAGTGAAATTTGAATAAATTATGTGATATATTTAATACATTAAAAACATACAGAGGAGGAATGTAAAACGGAAATTGCTAGCGGAAAATGCCTGAATTTTTACGAATGCCACCCTCGAAATCTGAATTTGGAAGTTTTCCCGCGGTTCGAAAATCGAAATGGTCGATTCTGATTGGCCGTAATTTGAAAAGTGGTGTAAAAGGCCGTGACATCAGTACCATTATACATCTACCATGAATCCTCAATCGCATTTTATGTGCTAATCGGTACAATATCTCTATTTATCTCTACTTAAGCTTAGTTTTTAATTACAGACGGTCAATGTCGCTAAAATTTTATATGATAACATGGGTTTTTACAGTAGTGACGCGCAACTGTTATTAGAGATATGGAAACATGATTTGCAATTGTAGATAACGTTATAGTTTTTGTCGTATATAATTATGTGGTCACAGAAATAAGACATTTTTGTGTTAACAGTTGTTTTAGATAAAATATATAACAAAAGATTCCTCGACAATTTTCGAAAAATGCATTAAATGCAAGATTTCTATAAAAAGCAATAAATTCCTACGCTTACTCTTTGTAAGTTGGACTCTTCAACAAAAATAACAACAAGAACACTGATAACCTCTTTATCGCCTAAAATTGGAATGTAAAATAGACGACAATAATAATATTAAGCAGAATACACTTTAACAAAATTTGTCACCATTTACGGACTTATTAAAATGACTCTAACAACAACCACTAGTATTTTGATTTCTGTGTTAGTCTTTAGTGTTTCCAACGCTTTATTTGAAGGTACTTAAATTTCGTCAAACTCTAAAATACTAACTTGTGTCTTTTCCAGGGGACGACTGTGTAATGCTAGATCCTGATGGCCGTGCTGGAAAATGTATAAGTCTTCGCAAATGTCATTTCGCTAGAGAACGTTTCCAAATACTAAAAATTCGTCCACAAAATTGTGGTTTCATACGAAAAACGCCTTTGGTATGTTGTCCGAAATCTACCATACCAGTTTTATCGAACTTTTCCAGAAGCGAAGACAGTAAGTTTGATGCAGTTAACTATTCTGATGACAGATTTAATAAAACTGTTCTAGAATGTCGAGAATACCATGACTTGAGACTCCAAGGTAAGACGATTGCTTTTGGTGAAAAGGCCCAAGCTAGAGAGTTTCCTCACATGGTAAGCAATTACGTCAAATTAATTTCCTAATGAAAATTCAAGCTTAGGCCGCTCTTGGTTACGGCAGTCGTAAATCGGACGTTTTGTGGTTGTGTGGAGGCACCCTCATTAGTGAACGCTTCGTTCTTACCGCGGCACATTGCATTGACAATATAGAATAGTAAGTATTTCAAAAATAAAAATCGTCGCTACCGAATTTTTTCCTAGTGGTGACCCAAAATGGGTACGAGTCGGAGATTTGGACTTGAACGATGGCAACGATGATGCTGATCCTCAGGATATAGACGTCGGTACAATTTTTGCACACCCTGAATATAAACCACCGTCGCATTATAACGACATTGCTTTAATTAAACTTCGAACTTCCGCAAAATTTGGGAAGTATGTGGCTCCGGCATGCATCCACACCAAAAGGAGTCTGCCTTCCGTTCCCTTGGAGGCAATCGGTTGGGGTACAACTGACTTTTACGGTGACGCTAGTCCACACTTGCTCAAAGTTTTTTTAAATGTTATTGAGCCAAAAGAATGTAAGAGAATTTATTCTAATACAGTTGGGAGGAGGTTGTCGAAGGGTATATTAGATGAATCTCAAGTTTGCGCTGGCGATTTGTCTGGGAAAGATACTTGTCCGGTGAGTCACTCGAGGTAATGTTTAAAGGTAATATTCGGCTGCTTTTAGGGTGATTCTGGTGGGCCATTACATTTTTTGGATTCAGGATCTCCACAGTTAAAAAATCATTTTGTTGTTGTTGGAGTAACTTCGTTTGGAAAAGGTTGTGGATTTGAAAATAGTGCTGGAGTTTACACTAGAGTGTCTAATTACCAGTCTTGGATAGAAAACACTGTATGGCCTATACAGTAATTTCAACAATAGGTATAACGAATTTGATAATAAATTAAGAACATAAAATACGCATAAACACACATTTTGCAATAATTTATTTGAAACTGTCTAGTTGTGTTGTTAATAAAGTTATCACAGCATTTTTTAAATGACAACTTTTTTACAGGTACTGAGTGACTATTAATGTTTGAGACTATTTTTGCCAAGTTGGCAACATTTGTAAAATTTTATGATGGCGTACCTGATGTTAAAATCAAATTTTGGTCAACAATTCAGTATCTGCCATCTCCTCATTGGTTTTTAGGTACTCATATCAAAACTGACAACGGTGAACTAATATGGTAACATTGGTGCCAATAATTCGGAATTGCCAACCCGAAAAAAACCAGAATTAAATTTGAAAATAAGAAATAAGAAGGCTTTGGAAACAAAAGATATAAAAGACATAGTGGACATAATAGCGCAAACATATCATGGGACAAATCGTTGATTTTTTTTAATAAATGTCACTGTCATTTGCAAAAATTGAGGTGAAACTAATTAAAATACGCCCTACGTCTTTCAAATGTTTTATTTCCGAAGCCTCACCAGTATATAGGTACATACATTAATAACAGCTTTTAATTCATCACTATCGAACTTTTCACGACTGTTTCATTAAATATTTTATAGCAAACATTTATTCAATGCTTCGTTGAGATGACGTCATAATTTTTTCAGAATGGATGAGTAAATAAGTTTTACTTCATTCTCTGAAATTCATAAATTAGCTAAATTTCTTAGAATTTTGTTATTATGTAACTTAAACATATTTTTAGAGATAATCTCCATTAATAAACATAAGTTTGTAAATTATAAAGAAGCATATCAAACTAACGGCCCAAGGAGATTTATTAGTGCATTGAAATTACGTCATATTTTTTTAGAGTGAAAATGAATTTCAAATTTTAGTTATAACCTGTTAGAACCTTTTGTATCTTTACCTACTTTTAAAATTCTAAAGTTTAAGTTTAGAGATTCTCCCTCAAGAAAGCTAGACCGACGACAGACGAAGGATAAACGGAAAGACGGACAGGTAAATGGAGACGGGAAACTTTCATTTTCGTAATTTTTAGGTTGGAAATCGTGTGATAACATGAAATTAGACGTAAATGACTACCTTTAAGTAGCGTTTAGAATGCCAGAAAAAGGTAAGAGATGCAAATTTTGAAAAAATTCTCACACGTTGAACAGAATTTTATTGTTACTTCCTGAGCTTAGGCAAGTAAGTATTGTAATAGGGTGTAACGTCCCTCGGGCGAATGGTTACTTTTATGTTTTCTCTACGTTTAATGATCCCTTGAGTACGAAAAAAAAGATTTAGAGTTTTCGTTTTTTGTATGTTTGTCTGCCGTTTGCCATCTGTCCGTTTTTCTATGCCGATTTTTACTAGACAGATAATCTTCGAAACTACCGATTGTCAAATTTTAGATGTTATAAATACTAACCGAAATTTGTCTAATCATCGGCACCAACAATTTAATGACGTCCCTTTTAAAATTTATATATTACCCATTATTTAAATTTTATAATATAATAGATTCCCACACTTGTGGTTTATGAATATGCCTTGAGTTTTCCCCTAGGCAACCAAATTTTCCCAAAAAAAAGCGAACCTTCTGAGGATTTGAGAATTTCGCTGTTCTGAGGATTTGAGGATTTTGGTGTTCTGAGGATTTGAGGATTTTCCTGTTCTGAGAATATGAGGATCTCGGTGTTCTGAGGATTTGAGGATTATGCAGTTCTGAGGATTTGAAGATTACGGAGCACTGAGGATTTGAGAATTTTTCTGTTCTGAGGATTTGAGGATTATGGAGTTCTGGGGATTTGAGGATTTTGGTGTTCTGAGGATTTGAGGATAACCCTGTTCTGAGGATTTGAAAATTATGGTTTTCTGAGGATTTGAAGATTATGGAGTTCTGAGGATTTTGCTGTCCTAACGATTTGAGTATTTTGTTATTGTGAAGATTTGTGGAATATAGTGTTTTGTGAAATTCAGGATTTCGCTGTTATGACATTTGAGGATTTCGGTGTTCCGAGGATTTGAGGATTATGGTGTTCTGAGTATTTGGGGATTATGGTGTTCTGAGCATTTGAGGATTTCCCTGTTCTGATAATATGAGAATTTCGTTGTTGGGAGGATTTGCGGAGTTTGCTGTTCTTAGGATTTGAGGGTTTTGGTGCTCTGAGGATTTGAGGATTACGGAGTTCTGTGGTTTTGAGAATTTTGGTGTTCTGAGGATGTGACGTTTTTTCTGTTCTGAGGATTCGAAGATTATGGTGTTTTGAGGATTTGAGGATTTTGGTATTCTGAGGACATGAGGGTTTCGCTGTTCTGAGGATTTGGTGTTGTGAGGATTTGAGGATTTTGGTATTCTGAGGACATGAGAGTTTCGCTGTTCTGAGGATTTGAGTATATTGGTGTTGTGAGGATTTGAGTATTATAGTGTTCTGAGGATTTGAGGATTTCACGGTCCTGAGGATTTGAGGATTTTGGTGTTCTGACGACATGAGAGTTTCGCTGTTCTGAGGATTTGAGTATATTGGTGTTGTGGGGATTTGAGTATTATGGCGTTCTGAGGATTTGAGGATTTCACGTTCCTGAGGATTTGAGGATTTTGGTGTTCTGAGGATTTAAGGATTATGAAGTCCTGAGGATTTGTGGATTATGGTGTTTTGAGGATTTGAGGATTTTGGTGTTCTGAGGATTTGAGGATTTCGCTGTTCTGAGGATTTGAAAATTATGGTGCTCTGAGGATTTGAGGATTATGGTGTTCTGAGGATTTGAGGATTATAGTGTTCTGAGGATTTGAGGATTTCTCTGTTCTGAGAATATAACGATTTCGGTGTTTGGAGGATTTAAGAGTTATGTTATTTATTTATTTTGTAAGTAAGGCTGAATACTGAGTCTCGCTGACGCAACGGTTAAAGTCTTTATCACAGAAGTTTATCATAAAAAATTAAAATTTCGCAAAGTCAAATTTTATAATTTTTCAAGGAAGCCGGATTCGTTGTACTGTACTTTAGGGAGGCAAGGGTAGTAATTTTTTGTAAGTTGTTCTTGTCATTTTTAAAGTGTTGGTAACCTTCAAATTAGAAAATTATATACAAAATTTTTTAAAAAATCTGAAATAGTTAACTGATTCTGTTAAAGTTTATTTTTGTCGGCATCAGTTTTATTTTTATCTACTCGGAAACTCGGAATGTGTAAATTATTTTTTACATGTAGACCTATAGTAGTCTAGTAGCCTAGTATAAAACATCTTTTTGTTAGCAGTGCTAAATTTTTTATCGAATTTGTACTATACAGCTGTCTCAAATAAAACTCCTCGGGCTTATAGCTTGAAAACGGACACAAATTTTGAAACGCTATTGCTTAATTTTAGTTTGAAATAAATCTAAGGGCGTTACATAATACTTTAAATTTTTACAGTTGATACTAATACGAATATATGTGTTTTATATCACTGTAATCGTAATTTAATGATTCTATTCGTTAAAAATATAGTTTGCAATTTACCAAATTCCGCTTTCCCCTCAAGCTGAAAACAATGGAGTTTACAGAATGTCAGTATTCCTTTACAGGACAGAAGGTCGCGGAGTTTTATTGGAATCATCCTGTATATTAAAAATGCATGAAAAAATAAGAGTTTAGTATTTTTGATAAAGAATTTATCAAAATTCTTTTAAACAACGTCAACACATTGAAATAATCCATGGAAATATTTTCAACTTTCTGTGCACTAGGTACTTATTAACGAAGAAACCTATTTTCCGAAACAGATTTTTATCGTCAAAAGTACACGAACACATCAAGAAATGAGCGCATCAATGCGTCATTTTCAAGTTTTTAAACAAAAACTATTGTTATTTCAAAATATAATGAGCATCTGTATTTTTTCCCAAGGACGCAACCGCTAAAGAATAAGTGTGGAACTTAAACAGTGGCAAGTCAATAACACAAAATCCTGTAAATCCAGTCTTCACAAATCGCCAACTCCACATATTGTTACTGTTTTTAGATTTTTAAACTTGTCTAGTGGTTATCTGACCTTACTGTGAACAACGATGGTCGCCTTCAGATCAATGATATTATCACTTATGATCACAAGTATTGTAACACTTAACGAAGGTAAAGAAACTGTATTATTGTAAATTTAATTTTAACTATGATGAGTTTGCCGTAGGCGAAGATTGTGTTATGGAGAATAATAGCCAAACAGGGAAATGTGTTGATGTTTACCAATGCGACGTAGCTAGAAAACTATTACAGACAAATCAAAGACCTCAGCATTGTGGTTTTAACAGACAGACAGAACTAGTGTGTTGTCCTGTTCGTAAAAAACCGTTGGAAAGAATTTCCGGAACTGTGAGTGATGCAAGTAAGACATGTTTATAGACGTAACACAATAAGTGTGTATTTTATCTTCAAACTTTATTTCCAGTGTGCAAAAAATATCATAATGTGATGGACGCACCAATCCCACCACTAGGTGTATCCAATGGTGAATTAGCTGAACCTCTGGAGTTGCCTCACATGGTCAGTATAATTCAAAATTTTTCAAATCTAAAACAAATTTTAGGCAGCTGTGGGTTATTATGACGGCCAAAGAACAGTGTGGCTTTGTGGAGGAACTATAATTAGTGAAGAGTTTATACTCACAGCATCACACTGTGCCCGCCACCAAGACTAGTAAGTATTAATTATTTACTTTTAACACTAATAAAAATATTTTCATTTAGTGGACCTCCACAAGTAATTCGTGTAGGAGACCTAGATTTGAGTACAAGCAGCGACATTGCAAATCCACAGGATTTACCTATAGAAGAATTTTACACCCACCCTACTTACAAAGCGCCATCTGTTTACCACGACATTGCTCTAATTAAAGTAAAAAGACCAATAGTTTTTGATTTTTTTACGCAACCTGCATGTTTACATCTTAACAGAAATATACCTACCACTGTTTTACAAGTGGCGGGTTGGGGCAAAACTGACTTTTATGGAGACAGCAGCAGCCATTTAATGAAAGCGAATATAACCCTTGTGAGCTCTAAAGAGTGCTCTGAAAGGTTTCCAGTTCATCGGTTGAGAATGAAGAGTGGAATTATAGACGAAATGCACATTTGTGCTGGGGATGCTTCAGGAAGAGACACATGTCCAGTAATAAGTGACTTTAGTATAGTTGTTTTTTTCAAAATTTGTTATTTTAGGGGGATTCTGGAGGACCTTTGTATTTTCAGCGTGAATGTGGTTCCTCCTGTGACATTCTGCCACATTTTGTTGTAGTAGGTGTAACATCTTTTGGTAAAGGATGCGGATCTGAACACAGTATAGGTGTTTATACAAGAGTGTCGTCATACGTTCCATGGATTGAGAAAATTGTGTGGGGATAGAACTCATTTTCTGAAAAAACAGAATCATGAAGAGAATGCAATTTATTTATTGATATTTTAAATATATCGTATTTTGATGAGAGTGTCAGTGTTTTTATTATAAGTGGAAAAAGGGTCGCAGACTGAAATTGAATTCACGTTTGTTGTTAGTCACACAACTACATAGACGTCGGCTCAATAAAAATATTGTTGTTCGAAAAAACATTAACATCTGCATCAATACTACGACATCTGGAAAACACAGCATTTTTTCTGTAGTCTCTACACATGTGCCCTTGAGTCTAAATCATTCATAGTCTGGAGTTCATCGGCTGTGGTTAATTAAAATTAACACTGTCTGAGAATCCACGAAAATGTTGCCACCACTATTAGTAGTACTAATAGCTATAGTTTGTTCTAAAAGTGTGCTTGCAAACGAGATTAATAACAACACACACACTGAGTTACAAACTCTACAAGACGAAGGGCGTGCTTTAAAAGAGATAACGAAGTTCTTATCAGGTAAGAATTCATACAAAATTCAAGTTTTGAAACTCCTTTTTTTCCAGGACAGTTAGATAAATGGAATAACTTGTTCCTACATTCGCTAGAACCTCAGATGATCTCTGTAGCAACTTCTTTGGCTAACATTGACAGTAAAGTAAGCAGTTTACAAGAACGGGCGCACGTATGGGACACTTTTCAGTTACACGTAAGTGCCTGGAATGACCAGTTAGCAACTCTTGATCGCAAAACTAACCTCATAAGCAAGTACGTTCTTCTAACATGACAAACCACTATCTATTATCTCGTTGTTTTTAAAGAGGCCAAGAAAAAATGTTGGAGTTGGAGTCCAAACTTAACGTCATTGGTGACATAGAATACAAAATAACCGAAGCTTTTAAAAAAATCGACAGTATTGAAGACGCAGTCTCAACTTTGAAAGAAGAAGTCCAAAATGAACATCTCCACAAAGACCACGATAGCCTTTTTAGCGAATTTGCAACGCGCGGTATTTTAAGTAGTGTCAAGATGATAGAAAAGAAGTTAGATCGACTTTTACTGTCTCAACAAAATTCACTTGTTCAGCAAAAAGGGGTCGACAAACCAAGATTGACGATCAGATGTAATAATCCTCCTTACGTTGAAGAACTTCTTAATGATATTTCATCCAAAGTTGATGTAATGTTTGATAAAATGAATGGACGAGAAGAAAATGGGAGCGATTTTGGTGCGGAGGAGTATGTGGACGATGGGAGTGGAAGTGAAGTTTCTGAAGGAAAAAATTGTTCCGATCGGGACACTGTACTAGAAAACAAGGTAACGAAAATAGAAACTATTTCACAACTTATTTCAAATAAACAAGACAATAATTTACAAGTGATAAAACAAGAGTTGCAAAAGTGCGTAAATGATGATAGTGATAGTAAATTAGATCAAATGATAAGTCGCCATATTGTCTCACAAACCAAATATTTGGAGTCGCTTTTATCAAACATCAGTTTACCAAAGTTAAAAGAAGATAAAAATATTAATGACTCAGTGATTCACGAACCGAAGAAAACTGGGTGCGAAGATTTAAATATAAATTCCAAAAGTGGGGTTTATCTTTTTGGAAATGACTCTAAATTTAATCGCAACCAGCGCAAATTTAATGAAAGATATTGTCTGATTCGAAATGGGGAAGCTTGGACTGTTATGCAAGCTCGAGGAAACCATCCATCTGAAAACTTCAACGTGAGTTGGTTTCATTACAAAAATGGTTTTGGCGATCTTGATAAAGATTTTTGGTTTGGCAATGATTTCATCAGTACATTGACCACGAACAATAATGTCCTTTTGAGAATTGAACTGGAAGATTTTGAAGGACGGTGTGTTTGGGCTGAATATAATAGATTTCTAGTGTTGCCAGAAGAAAATAAATACCAACTTATTGTTGGTGGTTATAGAGGAAATGCAACTGACTCCTTTTCAAGTCATAATGGATCTTTTTTTAGCGCTTTTGACCGAAAGAATGATCAGGCTCCTGATTGTTGTCCTTGCTCGGTATCCTATGGAGGCGGATGGTGGTTTAACAGGTAATTATTAGTTTATAAATTAAAAATCGATCACAATACGTTGGCAGTACTGGAGCAGTTGGTTATAAGTGAAGTTTCAGCTGTTTTGAATCCAATTTGAATGGATTGTACTACCACCAAGGTGAATACAATGGTTACTATGGAGGAATAATTTGGGAAACTTGGTTGGGCAGTCGTTCCCTAAAGAGGACATTAATCATGGTCAAAATTTCACCTAAGACTGACTACTCTACATTGTGGCCATATTTTGAAGAGCCTTAATAAAAAACTTCAATAAAAAGTGTATACCGATGCCGTAGTTTCATTTAAATTTAAATATCGCGCGCATTCCGACCGACTAGGGTTTTTCACTTTCGTGTTGGCAGCACTGGGATCGATAACTGGATTTCGTGTGGTGTGCGTCTGATGCCGGTGTTTGTGTGATTTTAATCGAATCGTAAATAATTTCTGCACTATTTTGGTGTATCAGCTTTAAAAATACCGTTGTAGGTTATATAATGGCAAGAGGCGGAATTAGAGGGAGAGGAGGAATGAATCGCGGTATCGGAAGACCCCCATATAAAGTCAAAATGTTTTTGCCCCGACACCCTTTTGACTTGGCCCTTTGTGAGTCATCATTTCCACGTGTAAAACCCGCCCCTGACGAAACTGCGTTCACCCAGGCCCTTTTGAAGCGTAATGTTGATTTGTCCCCGACTGCGTCCGAGCAAACCGCTATTTTAAATTTGGTCACGAAGATACAAACGGTTTTGGATAATCTTGTGGTGGCCCCTGGAGCATTCGATGCATGTGTGAGTAGTATAACGAGTTTTTGAAGGTGCAAAAGGCTGGGTAAGAAGTGGGTAGATAGCACATTGAGATTGTGGTTATGTAAATGAATAATTTATTTGGTTTAGTGGAAATATTTGGTGCTTTTGCTGAAAAGAATACTGGTATGCGAATTTAGCTGTTTTGTAGTAAAAAAAAAATCATAATTTCTTGGTGGAAAATTACTTGTTTTGGTGACCCACCCAATTACAACTTAGTCGTGGAATGACGTTTCTTATCTGTAAATTCATACCACAGGAATATTATTTCTTATTGAGTTTTCATTACGGTAACTATTATGACCCTATTAATGTGCAATTAATTGTTATTATACCATTTTATAAAAAAAAAACTGGACAAATATTGACAGTCGGGTCCAGCATTTTTTAAATAAAATAGTATATTGTTTACTTTCATTAATTGATGTTTATAGTTTTTAGATTCGTTTATTACTATATTGTTAAAAACTAACATTGTCCCTTATGATTGGAAAAAAACTCGTCTAGTAGGCCGTGAAATTTATTTTTAAAATGTCTATTTGACAGTAACTGTCAAATTAAAGAGCGTCTTGGTGTTACCAACATCGTTATTTTAAAAATAAATTGCACGGCCTTCTAGAGTTATTGTTTCACTTTCATTAAGGTGATTATTAATGACTGAAGCAAGTTTTTGCATTGGAAATTCTGAATTATTAGCAGTAATGTTCGCTTACAGATTTACATTTTTAAATAATTTCAATTTGACAGTCAGGTATACCACCATAAAATTTTAAATATGTTGCTAACTTGGTAAGAAAAATCACAAAGATTAATAGTTACTGGATAATAATTACCGTGCTTTTAATCTATGACACGTCACTTTCTGAAAAGACAATTTACTTCAGAAAATCGAAAATATTTTGCCTTCCTTTACATGCCTGTTGTCTAGACGTTTTACACGATCTAGAAAATGAAAATAGATTCCCCGTTTTTGTCCATATAATATTATTGATTAAATAAAAAAATGCCCACGTATTATTAAAAAACTTGGTTAAAGATTATTTCGACAGAACTTCCCTCGCCTCGACTTTTGCTTGAATTTTTCAGATCTTCAATTTTTAATTTTTTGTTCAAGTTTAAAATTGTCAATTTTCCCACTTTTGATTTTTTCAATTTTTATATTTTGCAATTTTTCGGTTTCTTATTTTTGTTATTTGTTTCACATTTCAATTTTAATTGTTTCAGTTTCTCGTTTCTTCAATTTTTCATTTTTTTTTTTTTGTTTTTTCATTTTTATATATGCGACTCGCCCAGTTCTCATTTTAAAATTTTTCAGTTTTTCGATTTTCCAATTTTTTTGTGTTTCAGAGTAAAACGGTCTTAGCTTACACTCGAAATGTAAAAACTGGTCTTTGATTTCACATATAGAAACACACATATTAGAAATTGTGGTAAATACTAATAAATATTTATTCAGAATTACATCCCTTCCAACTAGTTGATGACGTCATCTCAAAAAATATTCCATTCCATATCGAAAAATTATGAATCTGTGAACTGACTTATTTTGTTACAAAAATTTGGGCGTCTACTAACGTTATAATTAGTAACAAGTTTTTAAAAAGTTTTCAGATTAGAGTTGACATTGGAAATATTAGTCATGTCTTTGATTAAACTGTATAACCTCATTTGTATTGCAATAATTTGGATTTTTGGCATTTGCATTGTAATCAAAGACATGACAAATATTTCCATGGCCAGCTCTAATCTAAAAACTTTTGATCACTGATTATTAAATTGTACGTATTAAAATAAATGTTTTTGTCTTATGCCCACTAAAATATTGATGAAATTGTTTAAAAAATATTACGTACGTAACAAGGTAGTAATGCTTCGAAAGCGAGGGAAAATAGTGTAGATAACTATTTTTCCAAGTTGTATGCATAATAACGTATTTACAAATATAATAGAATAAAATTCGTCTTAAAACTGTGTATAATGATTTGACCAAATAAAAACTATTTAATTTTCATACTGAATTCAAATCGCTTTAAATTTTAAATTAAATTTCTCTTATGGCTTGTATTCAACAGTTATTAAAAGAGGTGTAGAAAAATATTGCCTGTACAAATAACAACCGAAACAGCAATAAAAACACGATCAGAGACTGTCATGGATTTTTGAACTTTTGTCTTCGATATAATTTTCGTCTTATCAGAATACCGTCAATTTAATAAGTTTCAGTTGAAAAAGCAACGATTGGTATATGTTTCATAAAAAATAAATTTGAATTTGTATTTGTATACCTATGGGTATTGTTTTTAGATAAATTAATTAGAAAAGAATTGGCCAAGCGTGAGATTAAGAAAGCCTAAACCAAGACCTGTTTCATAGCTACCCATATCACTTTTTACTTCCCGAGCGTAAGCAAAGGAAGTATTGTAATCGAGTCCATCGGCCGACTCTCGACCTTTCATGACCCCTAGAATACGAAGAAATAGGTCTCCTGTTTCCGTCTGTCTGCCGTCCCGAATTTTTATTAGACACATCATCTCCGAAAGTACTGGGCCGATTGTTGTCAAATTTTGTATTTATATTAGAAATATCATCTAGATGGTAAAACGTCAACCAATTTTTGTCTAGTCATCCCCACCAATAATGTGATGACGTCACTGGAAAATTGCACATAGTAAATTGGTTTTAAATTGTATGATATAACATAGTCCTACACATGTAGTTTATGACTCCGTATTGAGTTTCTACCCGAAACGTCCAGATTTTAGGAAAAAAAAAATCAAAATTATGAAACAAGATTTTGATTTACTTATCCCCTCCAAAAAATTGATGATGTCAGCTCAAGAGTTTGCCGAATAAATCCTACCTAAATTGTACAAAATATGATGAGTCTGTACTTGTGATTTATAATTCCAGTCATATTTTTTGGAACTTGCATATATAGGGTGACTCAAAAAAAAAAATGAATGCGTGAATTTATTTTATTGATTTAATCAGGAACTACAAAACCAAATGCTTTGAAATCTTGGACATGTTTTGAAGTTATTATAAGCATGGTAAATTTTTGATCAAAATGTATTTGCTCATCCCCCCTAAAAAATTGATGACGCCACCCCAAAATTTTGCTGAAAAAAAAAGGTATTTTAAATGTGTACAGAATGATGAGTCTATACTTGTGATATCACTGCATTAATATTTTTTTAGATTTGCTTATACGGGGTGTCTGAAAAAAATGAATCAGTCAATTTATTTTATTCATTAAATCAAGAATTGCAAAACTGAATATTTTGAAATCTTGCAGACGTTTTAAAGTCATTGTAAGCATGGTAAATTGTTAATCAAAATAAATCTGTTTAGTTCCCCCAAAAAATTGATGACGTTATTTCAACATTTTGCCGAATAAATTCTACCCAAACTGTGCAATATATGATGAGTTTTTACTTACGATTCATCATAGCATTAATATTTTTTATTGATCAAATTACCCAATTTTCCCGAAAATGTGAAAATACAAACGTCTTTATTTAATGAGAATTATAATAATGATATTCAGAACATTTTGTCGATTGTAGCTTACTAGTTACTCCTAATTGTTTTGATAATAATCTGTTTTGAGGGGACGAACTCATTCAAATAAAACTAATTTCTACGTGACATTCTTCCGATGTATAAACAAACACTTTCAAGTTGTTTTTCCTATCGAGGATAACCTAAGGACGTACAGTAATGGAATCTATTGGGCAATTTGGTACTTTAAAATTTTCTCGATATTTCATAAGGCCGTAGCTAGGGGCAGACTAGGGGATGCTCTCCTAAATCTAGACAAGTTATAATTAACCAAATATGAATTACAGCATCCAAAAACCAAATAAAACGTAGTGTTTTATTCAATAAAGAGAAGTCAGAGCAATAAAAAGTCTGGACCGTCGGCATTGTCATCCGGTTATTGCAATTCGTGGACAACATATTTTCGTTTAGTATGTGTTTCACCGTCACGTCCACAGGTTGATAAGTGTTATGGCTATTTGTCTTAAACTACAAGTACTATACAGGGTGTTCATTTTATCTGTTCGTGCCTGACAATTTTTGCATAGGCAACATATTACACACCCCAGACACGACTTCGTCCAATTTAATTTTTTTTTTAATAAGTAATCACTAGACAGCGGATTTCTGTCGGGCTACGTCACGATTTTAGTGGGGACGCGCTGCATCGCCGGGACTCAGTAGCGGGTCATAGGTAATCACTGAATTTAATTGTCACTTGATTCCATAAATACAATTAACGATTTATTAATCAAACGGCTAACTAAATGAGAACTGGAATTAACAGCAGAGTGCAACGAAGCAGCGTTATTCTAATCTCAAATAAACGAAGTGCAGCCGGTAACTGCAATGAATTCCCAACCCGTACGAGTCGTACCGAGTTTGGCCTTGTCTAGCCCGACAGAAATCCGCTCTCTAGTAATCACCAATCAGAAAAAAATACAAAGATGTCAATGCCAAATAATAACAAAATTGAAAAAATTAACATAATAGGCATGCAGTCGTCACGTTTCCAACAGCGAGGGAAGTACTGAACTCTTCAGACCAATTTTTTATTGTATGTTATATGGACATTTTTTGTATTATAGAGTGAGTTTTTTTAGGGTAAAATCTAGTTTACATGTCATTATCAAAATATTTATATTTTAAATTGTTGAAATTACCTTCTTTTAAATGGACGAATCATGGTGCCTCATTATGTTTTGGAAAAGAGCAGTTGTAAGTTTTTCAAAATTTTATTCCCATATTTAAAATACGTTTCATAAAAAACGGTGTTATAATGTGTTAGTTTTTATATCAAAAATTGTAATCGGATTGAAATAACGAATAAGTATACAGAAGTTGATTTTAGGCGTTAATAAACCAAAACTTGTTTTATTTAACAAGAAAACCAGTTTGTGAGACCCGAAAATGGTGGTCGCTGTTAATTTATTAAATTTGAGAAAAAAAAAGGAAGCACATCTAATAAAGTTAAATCAAACTTAGCAATAGCCTTGGTAGCAACTTTTGAAATCATAAGTGGAAATATAATAATAAAACAATTATTTTTAGTGGACATACTTTATTTAATTCCTGTAATAACAAAACCTTTTAACTATACTTTTTTTAAATGTTTGTGTTAAATACAAACTTACTAAAACAGGCCTTTTGTACCTTTATAGTGCCCTTTTATGGAGAAATTCAATAAACTACTTTTCTTTCCAGCAATTGGAAGAAGTGCGTCAAGTGGGTTCATTCAAAAAGGGCACAATGGTGACCGGCCACAACGTAGCCGACATTGTGGTAATACTTAAAACCCTCCCCACTCGCGAAGCCGTAGAAGCCCTCGGCAATAAAGTCAAAGAAGATCTGAAAAGCCTAATGAAAAGCGAAGTAGTGACAAAGGGCGAACAGCTCACCCACACCACCAACGAACGGGGCATCGAAATCAGCAACAGCTTCGCCTGCGTGCGCGTTATGGTCACCACCCTCCACCATAACATCCGGAAACTCGACCCCGAAATCCACTTGGATCAAAAAATCATGCTGAGCCACCTCGCGGCCATCAGGCACAGCCGGTGGTTCGAAGAAAACGCCCATCACTCATCCATTAAAGTATTAATCCGCCTATTGCGAGACATCCGGACTAGGTTCGAGGGCTTCGAACCTCTCACTCCGTGGATGTTGGATTTGCTGGCTCATTTTGCCATTATGCATAATCCTAGTCGACAGGCCCTGCCAATTAATGTCGCGTTTAGAAGGGTTTTCCAGTTGTTGTCTGCTGGCCTGTTTTTACCGGGATCAGCGGGGATTACGGATCCCTGCGAAGGGGTCAGTTTACGAATTCATACTGCAATGACGCTGGAACAACAGGATATTTGTTGCTTAACGGCTCAGACCTTGTTGAGAGTGCTGTCCCATGGGGGTTATAAACATATTTTAGGTCTAGAAGGGAACGCTTCTATCGCTAAAGAGATGTCGGTTTGGGATGGAGTGGTGGTTTCGCCGCTTGATAAAGCTTATGAAAATCCTCCAGAGAAGAAGGATGGCGAAGAAGAGGACGAGGATATGGAAGCCGAAGGCGACGAAAGTATGGAGACTATTGAAAATTAATGTGTTAAGGTAATTTTATTTTATTTTGATTATGTTGATTGATTGGTCGCGTGAAGAAACTCATTATAAGTTGAGTTGCATTTCGTATTTGTACAATAAAGTCTTAATATGGAAGAATAGCATGTTGTTTTTATTCGCTCATTTTGGAGATTTCCTTAGGCTAAGCATCAGGTAGTGGTGGTAAGTACAGGTAATATTTACAGAAAGTGGAAACAGGTCCATATAGCAACGATTGTTTAATTTGTTTCTTTTATATAAACACACTATGTTTGATCATCTAACTCATCTCCGCCAGAAATTGATGACGTATTAAAAATTATTAAAACTTGTAAAAACTCTCGTAACACTTTGTTGTAATTAGATGAAAAAACAAACAATGTAGGGCTCACTTATTTTCATATAAGTGGAAACTAGCCCTGAATAAATTTACTGAAAATAAGTGGGTTTGACACTGCGTTTTCGCCTTATTATAATAATGTCACATACTTGTTAAAGAAATGTGCTCCGAGACCCAACATTTTTTTATTATGGGCTGTCTGAAGTGTAGCAGGGAATTTATATAATTTTAAGGTCCGTAATATTGAACGTCACCAAGGGAAATATTGGAGAAGGGTTAATTTCATGTTTTCTCAACGTTTTATAGTTGCTAGAATACGTAAAGGTAGCTTTCCCGTTTCCGTCTGTGTCATCCTTTGGCGATTTTATCGTTGTGAGACTTTGGACGTATTTCGAGGATATCGTGAATCTGGTTTAAATGCAAACCGAAATTTGTCTGATCCGCTCTACCAAAAATTTGATGACGTCATCTCAAAATTTTGCTAAGCAAATCCCATTTAAAATTTCTAAAATAATATGCCGCGCACGTGTGATTCATTTTCAAAATTGTACAGTTTAACTTAGAAACTCCCATTGTTCTTGCACACGCTTTAAGGTAATCACGAACATGATAAATCGGTAATTTGAGCCCACCTATTCATCCCTTTCCAAAACATTAACATTATCTCAATATTTTACTAAGTAGGTCTTGATTGAAATTTATAGTAAAATACATTCTTTTTTTCTGGTTTAGTAATGTATCCATTCATATTTATTAGAACTGTTTGTGCACAATGTTTCAAAAAAATTAGCGCATGAAGGAGTTGGTTTTATTGATAAAAAAATTTAAAGCAGCAGCAACAGGAAAACTTTTTCTCAATTTCGTAACGCATACTTAACTTCGATTGTTTATGTTTATACTTCGAAAGAATCCAATTATAAGCATGTTCGGATAACAAACAACAGCAGTATTTGTGTTAAAAGAAAATTAAATTTGACTGATTTTGTCTCTTCAGCATAGGGAAGGAGGCTAATAAAATAAGCACACTCGTTTTTTAACGATTTACGATGTTTCCAATGACCTTAAAATGTTCGCAAGTTTTCACAGCTTTTAGTTTTGCAAGTTAAAACCTCAATTGTAAAATAACACAGTTTTGATTTTTTCCCCCAAAACCCTGGATCTAGGGGAAAATTCAACACGAATTCATAAACTACAAGTGCAAAAGTATTTATAAAATTTAAGTAACAACTATTGTAAATTTAGAGAAGACGTCATCCCATTGTTTAAACACCAAAACCTCCCTTAACGGACACCTCCAATCAACGGACAATTTTTAAGAAATCGAAAATAGCAAATGTAATTTACCTCCACACAACGCAGAGATTTATTTGTTACCAAAATTTTACATGGTAAACAGGTCAAGTACTGTTAACGGATTAACTAATTTTGAGTACCGCCCGCCGTGCCCTGTTACGACATACTAATGGTTTTCTCGTTATTCCATTTAATCACCGGTTTTCCCAAAAATGAATTTTAAAATTGTATCTTAAATCCTTTCAAATGATTGCCGGCAACACTGCACCAGTAATTCATTAACAATAAACTTCTTATTGTTAGGTATGTTTCTCACAAATATGTTAGGAATTTCCTAATGAAAAAAAATGGCAACTATTTCACTTAAGTGAGAAAGTATAAATATCTACCTGTCTTGGGATAATCTCACAGTATACATAATAGATGTATGTGAATACATCAAACAGGTTCTCCATATATGTACATATATAGAAGAAATATATTTATTTTGTTATCAACCTCTCTCCAACGAACACCTCTCAATAATGGACAGTTTATGAATCGCCGCAGCTGTCCGCTGTAGAGAGGTTTTGCTGTATATTGGTGGGGATGATCAAAGTTACTTTTTCGTAGTCTAGGGATCATGAAACGTCGAGAAAATATGAAAGTGGCTATTGCACTCAGGAAGTAAAAGTTACAAATATCTTAGGGTAATCAGCACTAGGAATTAGGACGTTTTGGGGGATGAGTTTTCTGGTTTTCTACCCCTTCGGCCCCTAGGAGGTATTAGGAGTGTCTTTGCGGTGCCGACGCAGTTCGGTGGGTCCATCATACCATTTTACGGGTTTTTGGCGCACTTTGGATATGGTCGGTCGATCGGTTCGTTTTAAGGGCTGCAGGAACGATTGTTTTAGGGATGGCTTTTTTTACAGGTGTCTGATTTTGTACTAGTGATTGAATTTTTCCTTAGGGTGAGTTTAGTGATATTTTTGTGCAGGTACTGATTTTTTTCGGTTTTTTACATGTGATCGAGTTAAGTAGTGTGGGGGTTCTAGACCACTTTGACCGCATTTGATTTGAGTTAGAGCCTGCATTACTTTCTGGCGACACTTGGGGTCTCATGACCTTGATTAGAACACGCATTTGACTTGACTTGAGTGGGTCAGGACCCCCAACATATAACTACTAACGGTTTCCAATTTTTTTTCCGAAATGGGTGCATAGTCCCCTTGTTATTAGTGTGATAATGTAGGTAAAAAAAATCAATGACGTCATCACAGAATTTATTAAGAAAATTTTGTACAGTGTGGCATGTTACTTCACGTGTAATTTAATAGTCCACTCTTACTCTTACTCTTTTGCATTTTATTCTACCGACGAGAGGGATTATCGTAAAAAAATATATACAGGGTGTTATTGAAAGGTACGTACAACAAAATGGACAGTTCTTCGCGAAGTCAAACAGGTCTGAAAAACTTATTTTGTGTTATCAAAATTATAAGGGGAGAATTAACCCTTATCCAACCTTTCTAGACGCTACTGAAAGATAAATAGGTAAAATTAATTTATTTTAGTAAATCCTAGCAACTGTGACAATAAAACTTTTGTCAAGATTAAATGTTGCTATAGAAACGAGAGATGCTCTTTTTTCAGAGGCGTACAACGAATTTGGACATAAATTTTAATAATTTTTATCTTTAAAAGGCGAACACTTTTACCTGAACTTTTTTTGACTTTTAGCATCCATACTTCGAGACCAATTGCCGATTTTATTTTGTACGTACCTTTCAATAACACGCTGTATATAATTTTCAGAAACAAATTTTATAATTTACTTAAAAAACTGAATTTATTTAATAGATTACTGCCTCTTAGGGAAGGGAAAAGTTCTGTCTAAATAACTTTGGACCAAAAAATAGGTCCCCGTTTCCGTCTGTTTGTCGTCTGTGTTGACTTTTATTAGGCAAATAATTCCGAAACTACTGGACCGATTGTTGTTAAAGTTTGGTTAATCCTCCCCACCAACAATTCGATGACTTCCCTCATTTTTTTTTTAGGAAACGATAGTTAAATTTTATAAAATCACATATTCCTATACTTGTGGTTTATGAATCCGCCTCGATTTTTTATCCTAGACATCCAGAATTTCGCAAATAAAACCAAATTGCACCATTACCTTTTATACCAGGATAAGTAGAGCATTGATAGTTGGTAAACTCGGTTGTCGCGCGATAAAAAAGTCAAATTACTGTCCAAAGGTCGCTGGTTCGATTGACTCATTCACAATTTTTTTATTGATCAGCAAGAATGAGTCACCTCATTTTCCCAAATTTGAATAATAATAATATTCGGAACGTTTTGCCCTATTGTACCGTAATTAACAATTTCAGATCTTCTGTGTTGTGTGGAGAGAAAATCATTCAAATCCGCCAGCTTCCTACTTACTTAATTAAATTTAAACATAAACATTCGAAGTTAAGTACTTCAGGGGCTAGGGAAGTTTTTAAATCTATCTTGACCAGTTTCTAAGAGTGAGTGAAATCAGTTTAACGAAAATTATATTTTCTTTTGAATTCAACTAATGCGTGTAATATGTAACAGGTATTTAATTGAAAAAGTCATCAAGTTGGCGTTTTGGATAGAAGCAAATATGGCGAAAAACACATGTGTTTAATTAATGCATACTGTTGTGTAAAAATGAGATTTCCGCATTGTCAGCAGTCATTGATTAAATTTTAGGTTAATTGTAGACGTAGCTCACAATGTTTATAAAAAAATCAAGGCCAACTTCATCACTTTTTCAGTTGAACACCCGATATATCTTTGTCGAATAAAAAATATCTTACAAATTAATGACCAATTTCAATTATGGCGTTACCGCAAATTTACTACTAGTGCTACAAGCTACAAGTAATTAATCGGTGTTGCTGTAGGGTGAATTCAGATTAGGGTGACGTAAAGTGGAATTCGACCCCAGGTCAGTAAATTTAATGTATACATTGGACGATCAAGGTGCTTTTAGTAGTTCATATAACTAAATAATTAAGATTATAAGCTTTCAAAGTGCTCGGTGTTTACTTCGTGGCAATAAGTAAGTTTTCTAGGGCGCAGGAACGTTGTGAGTGTTGTATTATCAACATAAAAATATCTCCTGAGATAGTCACGCTTAAATGAAAATATGACTTCGGACCCATCACCTGTTATTGTATATACTGTTTATTTTTTGCCAAAAGTCCGATACTGGCAACAAAAGCAACAGTTGGCTACATCATTTCGGGTTCTTTCCATATTGTAGGAGTAGCAAAACGCAATCCTACTTTCCTTGCGGGTGTATACACTATACACCTATGTGTATGTTCAAAAAAATAGTAGTTCCATTTTAGGAGCAGCTGTCACAAATAGAAAACGAATGTCAGTAAAAAACGTTTTAAAAACAATATTTATTGTAAAAATGCCTACTCCTAATAATGAGATTTTCTCTAGAATGTTAATAATGTTAATCATAACAAGACCCTAGGGCATTATTGAGTATCAACAAAACATCACATAAATTAAATGCAAGGATTGTGAGGCGGCGAAGTATTGATATGATGGCAATAAACTCTTGGACTCGGTCCACTGGGTACCGGAATTCGAAACAGTTTACCTTCTGGCATACAAATACACACTTTGTACTGAGAGGTAACGTAATTGTTGTTTTTTATTGTGGCAATGGGAATACGTCGAACATCAATAAAAGTCCCATCACTGCCACTAAGAACAATGGAACCATTGTTCGTTTTCAAATAAATATCTTGATCGGCACTCCAAACAATCTCCTTTCCGTCCATTCTAGTTCCTTCCGAGCCCTTGAAAGTCAAAATTCGACCTTCCACCTTTAGTTTACTGTACACAGGACTGGCTATGCGGTTCGTGAAAACGTTCTTCGCGCTGAAGGAGTTCGCACCAGTTAGGGAGTGAAAATTCGGCGAATTCGCCGAAAAAATGAGCGCTCCTTGCTTGTTCCTAACGTCGAAGGATTCGAAGCCCCAGAAATTTGTGCCGTTTTTGTTAATACGTAGCTGGTTACTAGCACGACCGTTCCGTAGCGACATCAAATTCAACAGAACCGCGCTTTCCTCCGCCGTGATTTCCAACGGTTCGTCTTTGAACCCCTCGATTTTTCCGTCGCGTTTGTACAGGTGACCCAAATCCGTGTCCCCGAAAAATTTCACGGCGTACTCTTCAGGAACTAGTTCTATGCTCTCCATACCTTGTCCCAGCCGCAGCACTCCCAAAATCGTGACAGTCAGGAGCAAATTTCCCACTGCTAAAATAAACAACAGTGCTACTAGAGTCCAGAATGCGAACGTCTTTCGCCCTCGAAGTCCGGTTTTCGATAGGTGCTGCTCGTGCACTGGCACATAACCAGCTTTGAAGTTGTTGTTGTGGTGTTTGGAAACTGAACGTTTCAGCAGAGCTTTGTCTCGGATCGAGACTGAGTCTACGTCGTCGGAAAATATGTCGGAGGTCGGAGATGAGCTTCGGTAGTCGGTCATTCTGCAAGTAGCGACCTAAAATTTGATGAGCGCTTGCTAAGCATGGAAACTCACCTAAATGCTTGTGATTATGTAAATTTGTAGGTGCTTGTCGGATGGTCGATTGACGACTGCACAGACGTCGCGACGCATGTGCTAGGCGTTCTATTAATATCGAACCAGTGGCGCCCGATGCACATTTCTTGTTGATGTCTTAATATAATCGATATTTTTTCAAGTTCGGTGGTTGGTGTGTGTTTGGCGCGGAGGCTTCATGTGCTGGAATTGTTTGATTATAATTAAACTAATTTCATAGTCTGTGCGAAGACCAAAAAAAAAAAAAAAAAATGAAATCGTGTTGTCTGTGTCAGTTAATTTTTATTAGTCTGGAAAAAGAGCGTTGTGTGATATATCCTGAATACGTAGTCATATTTTCCAAGGCACCTAGGCAAAGTAATAAATAATTCATAGCGTAGGATTTAATAGATTTTATTTATTAACAGGTAATTTACGTCGTCATTACATTACACACTACACATACAAATTCATACGTACAATTCAAGTTTCATAAAATAACCAATTAATTGCACTCTATTTATTAAAATTAAGAACTTCTGCGGTTAACCTAGAAGTCATATAGTCCTTTGGCAAAATCTAGAAATATTACAAGATAAAAAACTGTTTACGAAACAAGTCATCTATGCAAACAACAATGTGAGGAAAATGGATAATGGACTCACCCTGATTGCACCGATCTTCAGTGACAATTTCATTTGATTTGAAGGCTCGTTGGAAAGCCATGGACCTCTTGTAGGTACAAATAAGAGGCGCTGAGGCCTCTTGCACCGACAAACAAAAACAACAACAACAAAAGGGCCGCCGTGAGGTGTTGCAACTTCGATGGTTCACGAACGACAACAACTAAAGAACTGAACAACTTCTGTTACTTATATTTTTGAATTTCCTTCTTCTAGAGGGCGGCTTTCTTGTGTAGGTGGGGAGGGTGGTAGTCAAGGGTAGGCAATAAGGGGGTGGACGGGAATTGCTGCTTGTCTAACTCCCCGCAACCATGAACATATGTACGAAACAAAAACCAAATCTTCGATGGATGTTCGTCGACGTTTCCTGATCGCTAGAGAATGAAAGATCGGTCTCCCGTTTCCGTTGGTCTGTCCGTCGTCTGTGTCGATTTTTATTGGACAATCTCCAAGACCAATAGTTTGATAACGTCAGCTTAAAGTTCTGCATAGTAAATGCTATTTAAATTTTATGAAGGAACATAATTATAGTCCTGATTTATGGATCCGCCTTGAGTTTTCGCTCCAGCCATCAACATTCTCGCAAAAAAATTAAACTTCCTTTTTTGGTGCGTCAGTGCTGATTAAAAAAGATTTACTGGTTAAATATTCAATCAGCTTAATGGAATACCGATGTCAAGATGTCCTTATGTCTGTTTACTTCTTTACCCGTTTTTTTTATTCATTTAAGTCTGTGTAATTTTTATTTTAAGGTTTTGTGAAACAATCTTGATATTCTCGACTTAAATCTCCCAAATAGTAATAAAAAGTATCATATTTCTGCCAAAGTAATAAATTATAACTTGATTTATATTTCCTGAGTGTAAGCTTGGGTCCATCGGGCGCCTGTTACCTTCCAGGACCTCTAGAGTACGAAAAAATAGGTCCCCATTTCCAGTTGTCTATCGTCTGTGTCGATTTTACTTCTCGAGCGTAGGTTAAGGCAGAATTGTAATCGAGTCAATCGAGCGACTGGCCACTTTCATGTTTTGTCATGATCCTGTTGTCAAATTTTATGCAGTAAAGCGCCAGCTAAAATTTTTTCATCAACAATTTGATGATGTCAGCTCGCATTTTGCGCAGAGGATACTTAAAATTTATGAAGTATTGTGCTCTTGTACTCCCCGGGCAATTTTAGTTCTCTTTGTCTTATTGATCAAATCAAGAACTTTTTCGAAAATGAAGGAATGCAGTAATGTCGCGCCCGCCTACATTTGATACTAATAATTATTATAAACACTCTGTAACAGTATTGTAACAGAGATTTTAAAAATAAAGCTACAGCAATTTTTTTAACTCTCCTATTGCAAAAAAAAAATATGTAAAAATTTATAGGGTGTTTCACTAAAAAAAAACTAAGTTCTGTGTTACGTCTTAAAAATGAAACACTCTATACAGTTAAAAATAATGTTAGAGTAACTTTGCTCTTTGACCACCCTGTATATTATATATTTTTTTAATTTTATTGCAGTATTTTGTTTTAATTAATTTTGTGTTTAGTACTTATGTCACTATTGCTTAGTGACATAAATAATAAATTGTCCAAAAATCATTTAATTTAAATAAAAATATATCTGGAAGTATGGTTTAAAACAAGCCATTTTATGATTTTTTTGAAGCCTTTTCATATAATTTAGCATTTGGAATACACGTTTTGTTTTTTCTAAATATATTTTTATTATTTTATTTTGTCGACGTTTCACAGTTTCTAAACTATGAAACAATAGGTCTGCCATTTCTGTCTGCCTGTCTGTCGTCTGTTAGGGATTTTTCCGCAACTACTGGTTTAATTGTTGTAAAAGTTTATGTGTATTTTAGTCACAGTGTTAACCAAAATGTGTCTGATTTGTGGGGATCACTCATAATTTGATGTCCATAGTTAATATTTTTTTAAACTTTGAGCAATACGATCACTGAAGAACATAGTAATTCTTGTAGAAAAATACGGATTTCGCAATTAAGCTCCGCCCCCCCTTGGCTCACGATGAACAAAGAAAAATCCTTACAAATGAGATAGGGTGGGTGGGCGGGGTTTATATTTTGCATTTTTTTTTCTTAATATACATAGTCTTCCCTTCACAACAAAAAACTGAAATATGTTTGAAATGATAAATTTTATTCGCCACACTTCTCTACAAATTTACCCATTTAAACATGTTTTCAATTTATTGTCGTGAAAAGAAAACTATGTTCATATATTAAAAAAAGACGCATAATACACACCCCGCCTACTAGCCCCTTTCTCAATTGTGATAACTGTTTTTATTTGTCGTGAACCGAGAGGCGGAGCTTAATTGCAAAATCTTTATTTCTCTACAAGAAACTACCATGTTTTTAAGTATAATGTTATTGGAAGAAAACTGTATGTGTCAAGCAAAATGAAGTCAAAAATGGAGCTCCGCCCACCCACCCCAACTTCAAATGTGATGAATTTTTCATTCGTTGTTAAACCGAGGGGCGGAGTTTAATTGTAAAATCATTGTTTCCAGAACAAAAAAAAAAAACATCATCCGTATTGTGATGAATTTTTACCTAGTTGTCAGATCGAGGGGCGAAGATTAATTGGAAAATCCATATTTGCCCATAAAAATGTACCATTTCAAGTTTCTTGTTATGAAAAGATGACTACGTATGCTAAGAAAAAAAAAAGGCAAAATATAGCTCAAATCTCATCAATTTCGATAGAAAACTGATTTGTATATTTGATTTTTAATTACGAACGTTTTTCGAAGTTTTTTGGCTTTGGTTGATGGAATTGTCGAAATGACATCCATCAGACCATGAAACATTCAAATCGTCTCCGCTTTACTTTCCGAGAGTAAGCTAAGGAACTATTGTCATTAGGTCCATCCGACGAATGGTTATTTTCATGTTTCCTCGACGTTTAATAAGAGTTCGAAAAAATATTAATAAAACTGGCTAAATATTTCAAAAACCATTTGTTACGCCTTTCTGATGTAGGTATTGTAGGAATTTGTATAATTTTAAGGTTCTTTATATCGAACGTAACTTTGGGAAAAAAATTGGTTCAAGGTTACTTCGACAGAACTTCCCTTCCCCTTGAAGTACAATCCAAGAAATTCCGCTTCTTTAAAAAATTATAAAAAATTTGTGTGTTTTGATAACCGTGGGTGTGGAAAATTCCAAGGGGGTGCCGTCCGCAGATATACAGACAATATGAAATGTATTCAAAGCAAATAACCAACGGAAAAGAGTGTATTATTATCAGTGCACATGCTTAACTTCGATTGTTTATGTTTATATATCGAAAGAATGTCACGTAGAAATTTATTTAATTTGAATGAGTTGTCTCCTCAAAACAGAAGACTAAAATTATTAATTAAGCCACAATGAAACATGTTTTTAATATGATTATTATTCTTATTTGATCATAATTAAATAAAAACGTGCGTATTCTCACATTCACAGATTCTTAATTTGATCAATAAACAATTGGTATAATCCCACAAATTCAGCTCTTTAAAAAAATTATAAAATTTTATTTCACGATTTTCGTTTTGTGATAACCGCTGTAAAGTAAAAACCAGAGGCATAAATAACAGCCCTTGTCCTTCAACACTAGGTAATGGCAATCTGAAGCTCAAGTGTTTATTTATGTTTATACATCGAAAGAATGTCACGTAGAAATTAGTTTCATTTGAATGAGTCTGTCTTCTCGAAACAGGACTAAAATTATTAATTAAACCACAATCACACAAAATGTTCTGAATATTATAATTCTTATTATTTCATCATTATCACATAAAGACGTGCGTATTCTTCACATTTTTGAGAAAATGGGGTGACTCGTTCTTAATTTGACCAATAAAAAATTTGTAACGGCGTCATCAAGATGGATAATTCTAGTCACAGCACAAAAGAAAAGTAATCACAGCGAAACCAATGCAAGAAAAAAAACGAAGAACCAAGTTCGGCATCGAACCTACTGTGCTGGAAATAAAACGTTATTATACCTTGCAAATGTTTTTGCGAAAATTTGAAAGTTTAACGAAAAAACTGAAAGAGGATTCGTTGCACTACAAGTATATGAGTATATTTTTTTGTAACAGTCAATAGCAGTTTCGGAGATTACGTATCTAATAAAAATGGACACAGACACCAGACAGACAGACGGAAACGCGAGACTGCGATTTTCGTACTGTAGGAATCATGAAACGTCGAGAAAACATAAACGTGGCCATTCGTCCAATGGACTCGATTACAATATTTCCTTCGCTTACGTTCGGGAAGTAATAAAATTGTAGAAGGGTCTGTTTGATGAATGGTTAGTTTGTTTTCTCAACGTTTTATAGACAGGCGCGGATACAGGATTTCGTTCAGGGGGGGGCAATTTTTGTGTGATTTTACCTATCTACCAGAAATTCGTTCTAAACAAAAAAAAATTATAAAATTTTAGCTAGTATACTCTTTTTCACATAACATGGGTGACATTTGGTTCTTTTCATTACACGTATAGTGTACAGTAGAACCTCGATAATCCTAATTCCTAATTGGGAAAAAGGTGTGTTCGGATTAACGATTTGTTGGGATCAGCAATTTTCGCAAAAATCTGAAAGGGAATTGAATAACAACTTCATACACAACTGAAAACAAACTTCAAGAAATAAACCTAAATTTTATTAAACAAAAATTAAAGAATTCTTAAGCAACAATGGATAATAGATACATTCTAAAAAAATATTACTCCGTGACCATAAACACGCTATCTTTTTGGAATAAACACCCCGGAATCTATACCCTGAAATTTTTCAGAATTTTTGGATGAATTTTTCAAAAATGAAATTTTCCATTATGTATTCGTATTACCTCCATTATGCAAATTTCGACCCATTCTCGACGATTTTCGAAATTTAACTAAATATATTTTCTTGTAGATTTTGGACCTCAGAAGTCACTTCTGGCTTCATTTCTTCGATAACTTAAACCATTTTTCCAGAATCGTCCAGTTGAAATACCGCAATTTTTAAAAATTTCGAAAAATTCGAATTTCACAGCGAATTTTCCGAAAATATTGCTCCGTTACCATAAACATGGTATATTTTTGGAATCAGCACGTCGGGATATATATCCCTGAATTTTTTCAGAATTTTTAGGAAAATTTTTCAAAAATGAAATTTTTCTCATGCAAATTTCGACCCATTTTCGACCATTTTCGAAATTTAACCAAATACTTTCTCTTGTAGATTTCAGGTCTCCGATAACTTCATCCGTTTCTCCAGAATTACTTAATTAATTCAGTGCTTTGAAATATCGCAATTTTTAAAAATTTCAAAATATTCCATACAACATATGCAGAAAGATCTTGCGTCATTTTTTTAAGTAGATGCATGTTCAGTTCGGATTGCAGAGTTTTTGTTCGGATTAAAGAGGCATCGACTTCAAATAGCCTCTGTTCGGATTATAGAGGTTGTACTGTATTTACAAAATGAAATATGATTTCAAAATTTTGAAATTGGTCAAAATAAAATACCTCAGTCGAGTGTCAGGGGGGGGGCAATTGCACCCATTGCCCTCCCCCTGGATCCGCGCCTGTTTATAGAGACTAGAATACAAAAAGGTAGCTCACCTGTCTGAAATTTTCATACAGATAATCTCCGAAACTACTGGATCGATTGTCGTCAAATTTTATATGTAAAATTTGTCAAATCATTTTCATCAACAATGTGACGACGTCATCTCAACATTGTGCTTATAACATGCCGTATAAATTTTATAAAATAAACTGGACCTGTGTTTTATGAATTTGCTTCAAATTTGTTTAGTATTTCATTAAAATTTTTACTAATCAATATTTCTGGAGTAATTCTGTTCTTTAAATACATAATACATACCTACCATTAGACACATAGGCTCAGTGGCAACAGCACTAACTCACTGTCGATGCTACAGGTTGATACAGAATTTCTTTCTTATTTTGTTCTTTGAAACATTTGTTTTCTCGATTTTTATTTCTTTAATAGTAATTTTAATGAATTAATGAATATCTATGTTACATTCCTTGTAGAACACGAAAATGCAGGTTTGCCATTTCCGTCTGCCTATTAGAAATTTATGGGTCAGATATACATAAATAAAAAGCACTTCACTTGTTTTATTTTTTATGACGTTAAACTACGACTAAACACGAAATTTTGTAACATGATGTACTAATTGTTATTAAAAATGTCTCAATATATATGTGTTATGGATGAATTTAAAAATACTCGTTTTTAAGAAAGTAGAAAATAATTAATGGTTTCTGAATTGTAGGCATTTGTGTTTATTTTGAAAAACAAAATGGTCATAACTCGTTTAAGAAAAAACTACCTTTAGGAAACACATCATATACCTAGTGAATTCACCTAAACCATGACAGTCAGTCTGTGTTTGAAAATTATGGCTCCAATTACATGTAAATTTTTCGAACAAAAAAAAAAACTGTTTCAACTTTAGGTATATTTCTTTTCAAGAATTGCATTTGAAGATCTACGAAACTGGCATTACAATATTTTTACATTATAATTAGTGGAATTTTAGGTTTTCAAAATCATACCAATTGTGACTTAAGTTTTTTGATAAACGTTTGTTGAAAAACAGGAAATTTATCGAATAAGAAACAGAACACAAGTACGGTAGACATCAAAGGAACAATAAGCAGCTAGAACAGTACGAGATCCTTTGTTTGCATTTTGTGTTTTTGGTTGGACTGTATGTAAGTAGTGAAAATTCATACTTTTGCTGATTACATAACCATCTGCATGAATTTAACTAATTTGCCATGTAGGAGTCACATTTCATTGTATTTAAATACGGGCCAGACAAATAATTTAATATTTTGCAGTGACAACCAGGAAGCAGTGAAGTCCTTAGGGATTACGGTGGATTCAATATTAACGTGGAAAGCCCGCGTTAATGAAATGCCAAATACGCTGTGTAAATGAGCTTTTGTGTGAAGTTGCTCTAATCTCATGCCACTCTATTTTTCAAAGTACTCTCAACTACTCTATTTTATTAACGAAAGGCCACAGTTCTCATTGCGTTAAAAGTAAGTTTATAATGAAAACGCATATCATTTATTATTATCCAATGTCGTAATCATCAAATGCTTGTTGTCCAGAAAGAATTAAGTGGTTACTGTTCATTACTTCAGTGTAGTTGCTCTCATGTATATTCAAATACCAGTCTAGGTCTCATTTTCCTAAAAATACGGTTCTCTAAACAGCGGTCCCTGTAAATGGAAGCCCCAATTGGATTTTGTTCCTTCGTCTGTCCATTTTCCAGACTTTTCAACGGCAAAAAGTGGATTTCACCATCGGGGTAACTTCGCCATCATCACCTAATTACAAAGTCCGAAATTTTGCTGAAGGGATTACTAGGATTTTCGTAGTCTGATGGAATACAAATACAAACAAGCGAGTGCGTGTTTTTCTTCTGAGATTTATTTTTACTATGTGCGTGCGTTGACGTTAAATTATGCAAAAAGGTTTCCTTTATAACTATTTATATTAGTTTTAAAAATTTGCATGTTTAAAATATATCTACGCATCATTTATATTTTGTATATAATCGTAGTCAGAGTTTCTTTTTGCGCCATAACGTGTTAAATTGATGGGAGTGTGAATTTTCAGTGGGAAATAAATTTATTAGACGTGCAAGTGCTGTCTCTGGATTTCTTCGAGTCATAAAATTATCTACAAAAATTACTTACCTTGATCTGCATAAATAAAAAAGTCCATTACGTACTAAGATTAGTATTGTGTACGCATCTCCTCCAAAAAATTAATGACGTCATCTCAAACTTTTGTTAAATATAGTATATCTCGACTTTGTGTGTTAAATAACAATACTTGATATATTTATTTATTACTCGTGTTCATAAGTAATAAAAATGATAATTTGATAATTAATTCAGCAACATACCATGTAATAAATATTTATTACTAACGTTATAAATAATACTACAACCACAACAAAATAATTTCATTTTACGTGTATGAAAACGAGCAATGTACGTCGCACTTATTCGTATTTTATAAATATTTGAATACACGGCGTCTACGCTGCGTATTTCACCACCTCGTATTTATTTGTGCTGAGGCCCGCCGGGACCGTGGGAGGTCAACTCCAGTGCACTTCCCTTGGTCGTGTAGATCATTCAAGATGAATTTTGAATTGAAATAATTTTTGACTTCAATAATTTAACTAACTTCTGTGTAGTACAAAGGTATCGTTTCATTATAATAGACAACTTCTAAAATTCCTTAATTTAATTAATAATCGCCCATGAAGGAGAGCAAGGAGAGGTTTCCCAAGGCGACCTTACAAGACGCCGGTTAATTCCGAAAGACGCCTTCGCTCCGGTAATTGCCCGTTTATGGAATAACCGATTTGGTTGTGTAATATTACCATTTGTTATAAGTCAAGTACGTTCCTACATTCACATTATCAAGCAATAGGGTGTCAAGTCGCAAAATGATAAATTTGAAAGTTTTTGACAACCACTGTGCGAAATTTCTGTGAAGATGATCCGACCTTTTTGTAAATACACAAAGGTAATTAACCGATCGTCACTCTGCAACACTTTAGTAAAGAAGCGAAATTTTCTTTCAGCGAAATCCATTTGTGCCGAGCTTTTATGTGAAAAATTACGAGGTGAGTGTTTTTAGTTAATTATTTCAAGACTCGTACTTACCTTTCCGTTTTGATGCTTTCTTAGCGAGGTCGTAGTTTGCTTTATATGTGTGTAATACGGCTTGGGGTATTCTGAGGTCATTGTGGATGTTGACTTGTTGAATATTTCGGTTTACGATTAGGCAGAAGATATTGCGACTTTTTACAAACGAGTGTTCTTTTTATTTTTGTATATTAATAAATAAGGTAAATTTGTACATCACATTAGTTACAGTTTTTCCTGGAATGTTATATATAACTATATTAATCCTTGAATATAAATATGCATTATTTAAATATGTACAGAATTAAAATTTGGAAAATATATCTTTCCATCGAAAATTTTTCCAGTTACATCTTGATTCTTTCGTGAAGTTTATAAGAGATATGTAAATCTAACAATGTGGGCCTGTCTCAACTACGACAACTAACACACCTATGAATATGAAAAAACTCTGATTACCCACACGAGCTAGCAAATCATTACAGGCTACTCTGAGTAAGGAAGACAACAAGGCAAGTCTGTTTTGCAGACTATACTTCCGAAAAACCGAAAAATGGTATATGCACCCAAAACACGTACACCAACAAAAGCGAGACCCATCTACGTGTAATTGTTGTTATTTATTTGTTATTAAGGATCGTATTTGAATCCATCCAGGAATGAAAATTTACGAGGTATACGATATGATCACAATCTGATGGATTTCGTGGTGGAAGCCCGTCGTTCGTGTCAAGAATGGGTCTCTGTCGTTAGTGTCGACGTTCTGGATACAACGCGCAAACGATGTATACAAATATCTACTGCATACACATTCAACAGGCCAGTCCTACCTCTCTACCACCAAGTCCTACTAGATTTCGGTGACTCTCTCCAGAGCAGCATATTGTCGAGGGGTCCGCGTCGCGGTTAAGGCACGGAAACAGCTACAGACACAGACCGTGCAGTGAGTGACCAGACTGTTATCACAGAAAGCGGTGATTAGACTAGACTATGTTAATAGCAATCACGCCGGTCCGGCTCGTAAGGATTGATCAAGCAGCATTCTACTTTATGAAACTACTTTATTCGTAACGGCTCTACTACAGTGCAATCGCGACCTCGGCCGCACTACACTACACACAGAGATACATACTACAAACACTAAAATCTAGTAACTATCAAATTATACAGTACTTATGTAGCTACAGTAACTTTAAAATACATACGACAAACAGCTAAACATAAATGTCTATGTAACAGAGCGGCAGCGCAACACAGAATTCCGCCGTGCCGCTTAAGTAGTTGCTTTGCCCATTTAGTTTGCCATACTCAAACAGACCCTCTCGATACTACAGTATTTACATACTCAGCAGGGTTCACTTAACAAGTGAAACTAAACTTTATTTGTCTTAACATTTATAATTGAATACAAAAATAGAGGGTTCATTCTGTCTCACAACGCTTATTGCTGTCAACTGGATATAATTTACAAGTTATTGTCGCCGCGGGCCGAGCCTCACCTGGACCATGGACGTCCACCTCGTCCTTCCTCGTCGGCGGAACTGAACTACCGAACCGCCGAACTGCCCGTCAGCGTCAGTGATGCCCACGGCCTGACTCCTGGCCCGCGGCTGTGCCGGGACGGAGCCCCGCGAGCGCCCAACAACTATCACAAGGCCGGGCGGCGCCCGTCCCATCGGCAGTCCTAATACTAAGCATTATACATTATAAAAACATCAGTATGAACATTTTAAAATTACTATGAGCGACGCGAAACCAAGAGCAAAAAGTCAGTCAAGATTCGAATTTCCAATACTGAGGAGAGAACTGAAAGGCGGAGAGGCGAAGGGTGAGCGATCAGTTGCACTGCTTCCACGTCGTGGACAGATAGTGCTCTTAGTTTCGCTGCGTCGTGGGGCACCACAAGGCCAACCAATAGACGCATTGGTCCGCAAATCACACTATGAGAGAAACTCGATGCACAGCTACTACGGAATGTAGGCAGGTCTGTCTATGTGTGGAGGTGTGATGAAAATCAGGCCGACATCGCCTTGACTAGATCTGCAGAATCGAACGAACGGGCAAACTATGGCGTAGCTGCACTAAACGTAAATAAACTCGTAAACCTATAACCGTTTAAGTGAAAACGGGTCACGAGGCCACCCGTGCGAACGCCGGAGAAGCGAGGAAAACGCGTTGCCAAGCTCACGCCGGGACGAAGAAAAACCGACGAACAATGCGTGATGATCAAGTAACGACTTAATATGGTTGAAAGCTACTTAAATAAAGCGATTATTTTTTTGCTATGTATATATTACCGGAGGTCGATGGGAGAGGTTGGCAACGTCGTCTCGTCGGGTGATCTTCGTCAACTCCGAGTTCGACGAGTGGCTCTGTAAAAAAAAACTTACTCCCTATTATCAATGAGATCTATAAACAGAGTATAACAGTAATAAATAGCAAACAAACCATTCTATACTTTTGTATCGTTAAAATATAAATAAAGTATCGCCGTTCAGTCAAATCGGTAATAAATTATTAAGTACCTACGAATAATTTAAGTACAGTCAAAACACAACCCGATCGTTATGACAAAATAGGCGCGCTGCAAGAAAAAAATGAGAGAAGAAACAAAGGAGAATTTATTGCCATCGAGGAGGAATACACAGGTAGGACAGAGCAACACGGGAAAAATTTCAACGTCAATACGTCGTTTTAATACTGATTATTGCGAGTTATTGCTAAATGCTAAATGAGCAGAAGGCGGCATCGGTTCAACCAGGAGGAATAAACAAGCCGGTGTGACGCTATTCTGTACTGCCCATAGCATTAATGCAAAATGAGATTCTATATACACATGTTATTCAATCGAAATATCAAAACGCACAGTCAAAATAGGCACGAGACGCCGCCATTGACAATTGGAAATGTTTCGTTTGGAAGTCCAGCGGGCACTTGGCCCATTAAAAACACTCAATCGAAAAAACACAAAACAAAAACTAACCAAAAAGTAAAACGAGACAGTGAGCAAAATTACGTGTCGACTACGTTCAGACGTACATGCCTACGCCGTACATCGAGCCCCAGTCCACCCCCTGGAAGCTAGACATGTCTACATTGGTGAGGTTGTAGCCCTGGTAGGGGCTGGCGCCGACGGGAGGCGCTAGCGCGGGCGCGGCGGCGGCGGAGGCGGGCGTCGGGGTGCCTCCGGCCGCCGCGGCTGCCCCCACGCCGGCGCCCACCGCCGGGATGGGGTAAGGCGAGTAGCGGTAGCCGGCGAGCGGCGGGTACGCGCCGAAGAGCTTCCCGTAGCTGGCCACGGCGGCCGTCTGGGCCTGGGCAGCGGCGGCGACGGCCGCCGCCTGCACGTGGGCCTGGGCCTGCACCACGGCCAGGGGGTTGGTGGCGGCGGCGGCGATCGCGCCGGCCGCGGGAGCGGCCATCCGCATGCCGAGGCCGCTCAGCATGAGCCGCTTCCCGAGCAGCTGGGCGCTGGCCTGGACCGCCTCCTTCGGCTGGGCCTTCTTGCACTCCACCTTCTTGTTCTTGATGGTGTGGAAGTGGATCTCGCATACGCGGTCCACCACGTCCTCGTTCTCGAACGTGACAAAGCCGAAGCCGCGGTGCCGCTTCGTCTGCTGGTCCATCAGCATCACGGTCTCCTCCACTTTGCCGAATTGACTGAAGTAGGATTTCACTTCTTCGGCGGACGTGTCTTGGCTGACCCCGCCGACGAAGATCTTTTTCGTCTTGTTGGGCTGCTTCGGTCGGTTCTTGGGCGTGGCGTGTTTTGGGTCGATTTTCTTGCCGTCCAACGTGTGGATGGGCACTTTGAGCACGTTGTCGACGCTCGATGGTTCGGAAAATGTGATGAATCCGAACCCACGACTCCTCTGCAAAAATTATTCATCAGGAGGGGTCACCAATATGTGCATCCTAACGCTTCGCGGAACAATAACGATACGATATATCACTAGACTCTGCATTTTCGGTCGGCAGCATTTTTTTTTTAGTTTCGTAAACAGGTTGGTCGTGGTCGTAAAATTTGAGTTTTTTGAACTGGAGCCGACATTAAAAATACGACTACAAGTATTTTTTTAAATTTACCTCCATAATTATGGTACCTTACAAAACATCCGTAAAGAGTATTGTTGTATAGTCCTCCAAATTCTCTAAGGTTATATGCCCCCACCAAACCTAGTAATGGAAAATAATAATCCCTCCCCTCATAAACAAAGGATTTGTCCCAATACCTTGTCAACCATATTGCTTTTTTTTGTAAATCTATAATAAAAAGTAGCACACTTATTTATCTAAAATATATGCAGCTTCAAGGCTCAAGTAATTAAAAAAAAAATCCTGGACTGTTTAGGTTTTAATTATTTACAAATGGAACATATAAATTTCAAAAATAAAACAGTGTAAAATGATAATACACTGTTACATGTCGAAGTAATTGAATGTTTTGGATGGACGGGAACGGGTACAGTGTAATAAATTTACAATTGTGGATTTGCCTTATTAACCGTCCCATTTGACTTTTACTCTGATTTTTCAACAGCCATTAACCTTAGAGAATTTGAAAAACTATAAATTATATTTTTTCCTACAACTCTTATTAACAACTAGGGGACGAAAAACTTTGACGCGAGATAACTCGTATATTCTCAATCTTACTAAAAGACGGATTTATTGCTGAATTCCACCCTGATGTTACACATCAGTTTGAGAGGATGGGCCGAGAAAAATGTAAAGCCTTAAATTAATAAAAATTCAGTAAGGTAATGGAGAAAAAGGAAGATTTAGAAGAAATGGAAATGGGATAAGAAGTAAGGCGGCTAATGGACGAATTATGGTTAACTGCCTAAGAGTGAACAAAGCACACACATCAGGAGCAAGATAAAAGAGATCTCTCTTGTTTTTGGTCGAAAGAGGTATTTAATTCCACTTAATGCTACCTTGATATTCCTTTCACATTTTTCAGAGGTTGTAGAAATTTTTAAATCTTAGAGTTTCATTCACTATGTTAGATTTAATTTTGCTGTATTGTGAACGTTAGTTTTGAAAATTTACTGAGTTTAGAAATGGAGTTTGTTCATATTGTGATCACTCTGTAAGATTTGGAGGTTAGGGTTTTTTAAAAAATGTATTGTCGTCATGTCAATTCTTTTATAGCCTAATGACGTTTGTGTTACAATCACCAACCAATATACGAAACTGACACAGAAAAAGTTGTGATCTTATTCCCTTGGTCCTTTATGCAAAAAATAGTTGAACAATAACATCTAAAAATAAGAACTTTTAAGTTTCCAAACGTACAAGGTAGGAACATTCTGATCACACAGTTTTACAAGTAATTATGAATGTTATTCTGAAGTTTTTAATAAAAATTATTACCTAGAAAAATCCGCCTCACATTTGTTAAATGAAAAAAATGTTCACCATCAGTCTCGAAAACTCAATTTTACACGTTCACGGCTGACCTTCCTATTAAACCCAAAAAGAAAATCATTGCCTATTGTTCAAAATTCACGCTTGCCAATTTTTAACACTAGATTGATGCACTATAATAAATTAAGTTTTGAAAAAAAGAGTCATTCTATTAACGACAATTCACTGAAAATAAATATTTTGAAATCAAGTTTTTATGTCAAGCAACGCAGACCCGGTTTCATAGATCTTGGCAGCTTTATTTCCTACTGATCAAACTCTTTACGACGAAATAAAACCACCTCAAGTACGTATTTAAATGGACTCGCGTCATCCATTAACTTAGTTTCCTAAGCTCCCTATCCTGGATCTAGTTATTATTTCGCATCGATATTAAAGCTTATCCCGCCCGCCTACTTCCCAGTTCCCGCCAGTCATACCTGCGTCACAGGATCTTTCATTATTAAAACGTCGGTGACGTTTCCGAACATTCCAAAATATTCTCTGAGTTTCTCGCTGGATGTCTGCCAGCTTAGTCCTCCAACAAAGAGTTTTCCGGGTGCCGGATCATTTGAGTTGTTGGGAGTACTGCGACCTGAAGAACCTGAGTGACTACCGTTCATAGGTACCAAGGAGCCATGGATATCGTGTTCGATGAGGCCGTTGCCTTCTCCCATTGCAGAACTGTCAAAAGAAATTGATAAATTAGATAAAGTTGTAAACGCAAATATTGTTTCAGGTGATCCCGATTGTCATGATTGCGATTCTAGACGTGTTTATGTTTACGTTCTGGCCAATACGAACTCTTTTCAACACGGATTGTAATCTGTAAGTATCTGGCAACGAAGTTTAGTTTTAGTATAGGTACATTTAACATGATAATAATGAAAATGATGAATTGATCAGTAGTTATCCTAAAAAGTATTTCTTCAAAGCTTTAGGGTGGTAATGAAACAACATTTGTCTTGAAAATGAACACTCAGTAATAGTACAATATACGGTTTTACGGTGACTCGAAGTCTACAACCAACAAAAATTTGTTAAGGTATTTTATCGAGTGAATTATGATTCAAATTATTTCTATGAACGGTAAATTACATACAAATAAGGCACAGCGCATTGAAAAACAAATATCTATCATAACCTAAAAAATGCTGACCATGTAAATGAATTCCCAGAACCAGAACTGCCAACCGAAATGTTAAAACGGCATACAACTCAATGCCCTCTGTTTTTCAATGACATGACATTTCGCGAAAAAATGAGTCTGCACAATTAAGTTACCTGAGTAAAAGAAACTAAATTAAATCAGTGGATCTGGTTTTTAGAGAGGTATCATTTTTAATTACTGTGCTGTAGATGAGTTGTTCAAATAGACACTGGATTGATTACAACGGTTGACTGCTTCTGAAAAGAACACAAAAAGGAGGTCTCCTTAATTATATCCCTCTTGTGAGAGTGCACTGAGCAGCAGGTGTGTATTTCAAATAAGTTCGCTAAAAGTTTTTCTATTTGATGAGACTGTGTATCAAAAAGGTATTTTTTGTAAAAAGTACAGCAACTAACTTTGTTCGGTGGTTGAGTTTACTCATTAGGGGACAATCTAAAAACTTGGTTAAGTTAGAAAGTTGTATCTTTGTTAGTGAGCCAAGATACACTTTACGAATTTCGATATTTTAGCGACTTTGTCGAGACGACACTTTAGCAAAAAATTTTTATAAAAAAATTATAACGTAGAGTAGCAACTTGTGTGATAAAAAAAGGAAAAGTATATAGTCCTCATGCAAGGCCTGGCACGAAGGCGGTTCATTACTTTTATGTACACTGAACGGATCAGCACTCGCCCGTCTGTTTACCCCATTACGGCAGATATTCAGAAATGGAACAGGTAGCCGTAATGGACGGACGAAGCTACAGGTATCCCGGAACAATCGTACGCTAAACGACCTCTCCGGTGTTACTTTTCCATTTTTCCCTGGCACAATAAGCCCATTTCGCAACCACCCATCTGGGATTTGGCGCTCCTTATCTTTAGGTCGCAGTCGGCGTGACTTCGTTGGTCGTTCGCACCATTCGAACTGAATATTTGATGTGCGTGTGTATTCCAGGTCTCGCAACACCCTGACTCCTGGCCAGAGGACGCACCTGCTTATCCATCCGCGCGATACAAAGGTAAGACGGCGTTATCAACGGCAGAACGGAGATGTGTATTGTGTGTGGAGGGCGCAGCGCCGCGACGCCCGATCAATAGGTTGCCCCGTGCACGTGTATACATTAGTGATGTGGGGCGCGGCTGTGGCGGCGGCGCAGGCCGGTTACCATGGCGGCGATTGAGCGAGGGGTTGCTCATCTCCCCTCGACTCAGTCAGTGTCCGCGTCGCGCTCCTGCTCGCCACGTCCCACCGGTCCCACCGTGATATTGTCCTGTCACAGCAGTACTGATTCGAGCTACTGCTGCCTCGGGACATGACCACGGTAGGGCCCAGACTTCGCCGCCCCCGACAGTGCCCAGTGAACGGTGCAACGCACGAAGACGACGGACGCACATGGCGGTGCTGCGGCCTGGCCTTTACCACACGACTCCTTGTAGATACCATACCACTTGTTAGCTTAGTACTATGTGTATGTACACGTAGTTCACCCTAGTTGTTACCATCATGCAATTAGAATAGAGATTAGAGAGTAGGTCGGTTGTGTTGGAATCCCAACGACTGTATAACCCTTTGTTTGCACAACGTATGCACTGGCTGTCCATAGACAGAGAGACTCGCTTTACATGTATAGTTGTTATAGTTGTAGTATGTAGGCTAGCACCTATTCTGTACTTATCAGATGTACTGTGTCGTAATAAAAAAAAAAAGGTTACTATCTCGCTTTTCTCGAATTCATTGTGGGAGTGACGACCGGTCGATACAGACATTTTAGTTCGTTGAGGCGCCACGCGGCGCTCCCGTCTGGTTGCGCCGCCGCCATCTGGCGGCCCTCTCCCGAGACATGAACAGGGATGAGAAAGATGATGCCCACGCAAATGGCGGCAACAAAACAATGCGATTCGTCTGGGAGGGGGTGAACGCGAGCAACATTGATTTTTCCTCAATACCAAAAACTACAACAACGAATGCCATCTTTCTTGTTAGTAGTTAGTAGCATGTGTATAAATCTAACCCTGAAACAAACATCCTCACTTACTAATCTAGTCACTACACTCTTATCGATAACAATATTAAAAAACAAAAAAAGCCACGTGAAACCCTCGCACCCCTCTTTCTCTAGACAAAAGGGGTGCGTGAGACAACTGAAGACCTACACAATATTACAATGTTCGATCAATACATGCACTTGGTGTTAGGCGTGTTGGAGTTCAAGGGGTAGTCACCGTGGTCATTGAGAAACCTGCTAGACAACGAGTGGTGGAAAAAGAAAGAATCTATGTAGTTGCCGGCGGTTAGTAGGCACACGAACGATTTACAAGGCAAAAGATGGTTCAAGAAACGGCAACCTAAAAGACATACAAATCAAATTAAAAAACAGGCAGTGTGTACGACCAATGGGGCTACACTTCCGAACCGCTACGCTCTACATTCTGCTACTTGGAGACTTCGTTGTTCGTTACCTTCATAGGTGGCGGAGTCCGCGAGGTGGTCGCAGTCGTCACGGTGGTAGCCATCTTCGAGGTGGGTTCGTCTCTGTGAAACCGGTCACGTCTGCGACACTTGAAGTAAAAAATCACATGAGATTTTTATTCATTATTCGAGTGCGTGCAACATTCTACGCAAGGCGGATTAGTGATGCAGTCAGTAGAAGTGGTAGCATGAACATGATGATTTCTACAACTTTTCGTGTCTAAGAGATCAGCGACGAACACTAGTTTAGTACTATGTTATCTTTACAATTAATTTACAGGAATCGGTGCAGTCCTTTGCAGAAAATCGTCAACCTTTCCGGAAAAGACTGCGCATCATCATTAGGAAAAAAATAACTACGAACAATGAACACTTAACATAATCGAGGTATATTAATACATTTACAAAATTGCTAAAATATCGACTACTCCCGGACTAACTAACAGTGGTACCTTATCGAGTATAATTTGTTAATGCAAGAGCAGAAAAAGTTAGTCAGGTGTCCCAAAATCGTCACCTCCGAAGAGCACCAACTACAAGTTTTGTTAAAATTTTCGAAGACGACTATGCCGTTCAGAAGTGAAGTCGGAAACACGTCTGCAAAACTCGATAAAACCTACCAACTTTTCATGGCGACTACAATACTATTCCGGACTGTTAAAAATAAATAAATATTAGTTCGTCTTTAAAACACGTTAAATAATCTACAGTCGAGGGACCTACACACAGAAATCTATTCGTGGGGCTCTACTTTATATTAAATTCATAATTGAATTGATAAACGCAAACATGTTATTATCAGAGGAACTATGTCAATGGATCGGGTAAACAATGTTAACACTTAACCGAGAAAGCGATCATCGAGCTTCCGTTTCGTTTGTTTAAAAAATTACCACCTAACAAATGTAATCTACATACTACAACTATTTCATTATGTCACTACTGATGGAAATGGATAATACGATTTGATTTTTCAGTTGCTACATTTTACACAAGTGTTAGAACCCAATCAAGAGCTTTACGATTTGTATGAAGACATGAAAAAGGGAGAAGAGGAGCAAAAAAATAAAGAAATTAAGGAAAAAGAAGAACACTAATGTACTAACGCACGTGAGACACAAATTGCATGGAAAAGCGGCAACATCACATGTAAAAATGCATTACAAATAAAACGGAATGGTTCGGTAGAGAATGCATGTTGGTTTTAGTTTTTACTGGTAGTAGTACGAAATTTTGCGTTAATAAAGCACTGTTATTTTTGTTTACGGGGACCGGATTTGGTCACGATATGTACAGATAAAATAATTCTTTTTATCCAGAGAAAATCTATATATGTTTTCGAATTTCCATACAAACAACGCACATGATAACGTTTTTATTAGATACACAATTTGGGAAAAACATTAATAAAAATTTCCATAACGATTGAACAGTTTTATTAGTTTGAACGTCATTCCAGTTCATAATTATACATACAACTGGAAAATTTAAATAAGTGCGGCTATAACTTGAAAAGATTTTAGAAGATTAATCCTGATTTTGGGTGTAATAGTTGCGATTAATAGAATATCGTGTCCATATATCAACACCGCCCATGAAAAAATAACTTCGAATGAAATTTTCACGTGCCATAAACGAATTTTAAAAACAAGTCCGCCGCATAAGGAAATAAAAAATTAAGCTTCACAAAATTATAGTCGATACGATTTAGAGGAATCTCAAACATGTGAAACATCACAAATACATTTTTAATTAGTATATACCCGTTATGCAATTACAGATCGGTGTAGATAACAGTAGTTAGTATGCGAAATTTCCGTTGAGAATGTAGATTAAAATTTTATCGCCGTTTAAAAGATAGGTGTTTTAATAATACTGGATTTTGGACTGTATATTGATCGGAACGTCTTGTCATGTTATTATTTTCCAACGTCGTTAATGGTATTAAAATAATTAATCTTCTCCAATGGTGAGTCTGAACAATGATGTTCGCAGCGTGAGATCAATAAGAATGTTGGTAGGTGGCCTCTACCTTTGCGTATTACAACTTCTGATATTAAAATCAGTTTTTTATTATATGTTTAACATTCAGGGTACATGAGTAACCAAGCAAAGGTTTCAGAATCTCCGAATTTATTCTTTTTTGCTGGTATCAACTCCACCGCTGGAATGAACTGTTTTCATAATGATGTTGATTACAAAAACAATATTGTTCCTACAGATAAGTAGTTTACTCCTATTATCACAAATTGTTTTTGTTCAAGTTTGTGCTACTACAATGGTGAATAAAAACCATTTTGTTATGAAAGATCGTTTGACATGCATATTTCTGTCGATAACGCTGGTAATCATCTAAAAACAATTAACTTATCTGTAACACAACGAAGTGTTGATAGTGTGTAACAGGTTTGTAGTATTGATTAACAATAACAATTCTGTGTTACTTAATGTTTATTGTGCTATAGACATACGTCTGCGAGTTATTGACAAAGGTAAATAAATAATAAAGCTGGTTACTAATTTTCCGTTTTAATGGCCTGTGAACACGCAAAAAACTTCATAAATATAATGTTTATAAGACAATTTTAACGATCCTCACTATTGTAAGTTGGGGTTTGTGTGTCAACGTAAACTGTCACTAAGCAATTTTTCAACAATTATTTCTGTCCCAAAAATCAAATAACAAAAGCGAATTTTCTACCAACTGCCACGGATTTCAAACAAATGCATAATCGATAAATTGATAAACGGAGAGCGAAAACGATGATATTAAATACCAAAACACAACTACGAATTAAGAAACCAAACCACCACTGGCAATTTATGTGGTTTTTGTTTACTTTTTTTACAAAGCTGGAGCCGCCACAAAATGGCGAATTTAACTTAGGGTTCCGGGAACTACTTTGCACCGAAATTTCCACCCATTCATATCAAAAGCAACCGTTCCGTTCTTCCACGAATAGGAAGTAGGAGAACTGGTTATTATTTAAATTTATGGTAAAATTAAACGTCACGTTCATTGTATATCCTTAGTTTAATCATCGGTTAATTGTTGTTCAGTCGTTGAATTTAACTACGAAGTCAAAGTTTTTGTTCTTGGGGTTCGCGTAAACATCCTGTGTACATCGAATCGTTCGTTTTATTCGTTTTTTGAAAATAATTATTGATAAGACATCGTTGAAAAAAAAAAAAAGAAATACTTCCGATAGAGTAACATAAAAACGAAGATGAAAATAACCTCTGTAACACCACTACTGTGTTTTCATATTGGTTGTAATTATTTATTGCTCATTAATAAAATAGTGCCTTATTCACTGTTAAATAAATTTTTGTATTCAGGACTTGATCTTCATAAAATTTTGATTTATACAGCACGCAAGACGTTCACTGAATTACAATTGACGCCTTTTTGAAAAACAGTTCATTCATATGTTAAAAACCATATTCAAAGAAAAAACGCTTTCTAGTTCAGACATTGCATAGCAGAAATAATAGTCAGTGGTGCACAGATAGTCACAATATTTACGTCTTTATTCATTCGTTGTAACAATATATCGTGATACACTTAACACTGTATATTTGTTTTTAAAATATTTATGTCTTTGGCAAAGTACCGACACTGAATACGTCTGGAAAGTTCCTTACATCATTTTTCAACAGTTTATTCGTGACGTAATGCTCACTTTATATACCTTGAAAGATTTGACTCCGATCGATATATACACCGCTTCAACTCATCCTAGCAACATCAAGTACAAGCACTACGAAACTTCTGGATTAGTTTGTGTGGTTTTTGCAATGAACTTTTGATTACTCACTTTATCGTTAACGAAGTTTTTTTATCAAGAGATCTAAATTCACACATGTAAATTATGCTTTTAGGTGGAACAGTGTAACAACTTTCGACTCTCCAATAAAAGGAAATCACTAAATTAAGCAAACAAACAGCCATAGTTTTCTTTCATCTCTGGCTTTTTAAACGACGCAGTGTTTATTTTTGAAGTTCAGAGTGTAACAAGCTCGTTATTTCGGATAAATATACTAAAACTTAGAAATGTATCCAACAGAATGTCTACGCGTTTCGCCAACGAAGTTGTATCATTACACTTCTAAATAAGCATAAGGAAATTTTAGTCTGAAATAGAGAGACTATGTAATAAAAACAATGGCTAGAACAACCGTAATAATACAAGTAGTGTTGAAGTGGCACTTTTTGTAATCAACAAGGGTGCATTTATATGGCAATCTAGTTGCAAGCATTTTGGAAAAATGAAATTCATAACTTGTTACGTAAAGTTGTCTGTGAATTTGCTTCCTACGTAGTGAAATAGTCTGGAAACAAGGAAGGTGTAAAATTGTGGACAATTTTGATATCGATTAGATGATACATATTTCATGACTTAATTTGAAACCTTGTGTTACTATACTTTTGTATTGGTTTTAGATATATCAAAAATTGTGTTAAAGCTTGAATGCTGAATGTACAAGGAACAAGATTAACAACAGGCGGTGATAAATTGAATTTCAGACCTAATTTAACTGTTTTATATGGTCGATACAAAATACAAAAATAGGTCCATATACAGGGTGTTATTGAAAGGTACGTACAACAAAATGGACAGTTCTTCGCGAAGTCTAAGAAGAGTGAAAAACCTTTTTTGTGTTATCAAAATTATAAGGGGGAAATTAACCCTTATCCAACCTTTTTAGACGCTACTGAAGGATAAATAGGTAAAATTAATTGATTTTACTAAATCCTAGCAACTGTAACAATGAAACTTTTGTGAAGACTAAATGTTGCTATAGAAACGAATGACGATCTTTTTATCAGAGGCGTACAACGAATTTGGACATAAACTTTAATAATTTTTACGTCTAAAAGGAGAACACTTTTACCTGAATTTTTTTTAACTTTTGGCACCCATACTTCGAGACCAATTGCCGATTTTATTTTGTACGTACCTTTCAATAACAGGCTGTAAATACACTGAAAACAGTGGTAAAAACTGCGTTACGAAACTTCCATAAATAATAGATATTGATTTTTAAATTTTTAAAGACACGGTTTCCAGCGTCATCTGCGCGCGGATTTTTAAAATTTGCGCTTATGTGAGTTCACGTAACAAGAAAAAGCAGTAAAAGTGTAAATAACAGGTATATTTGTACGAAGTATTCAAGTAGGTCGTGTCGCTACATTTTTCAGTACTGTAATTTTGACGCATAAATACAAGGTAGGTTCATCTGTAGAACTTTTACTTTTTCTGTTGAAGAATAATTTTTTTATAAAGTATGAAGACTTGGATCGGGTGCGTAATATTACCATTAAAATTATCCAGTTTATAAAAAACTAAAATAACTTTACTACTACTATTATTATATTATTATTATGGCGTCAGAAAATTTCGACATTTTAATTTGCAAAAAGATCGGTTTTTTAATTTTCAGTGCAAATATTTTTTACGGTTCTATGCAGACAGCAAGCAATCTAGTAAATCTACGAAATTTTCAAAAATAATTTTGGAACTCCAAAATTTCGAAATCTTAAAAAAAAATGGTCATAAGTTATTTCGACAGAACTTTCCTCGCTCTTGAAGTACAATGAAACATATTCAACGTGAGCCATCTGTTTAAGCAAATCTAAAAATATGAATGCAGTGACAAATCACAAGTAAAAATTCATCATATTTTGCACATTTTGGGTAGAATTTATTCGCCACAATTTTGAAATGACGTCATCAATTTTTTGAGGGAAATAAACAATAATTTTAACACTTCTGCAAGATTTCAAAGTATTGTTTTATTCAATAAAATAATTTGACTGATTCATTAATTTTTTAAGTCACCCTGTATAAGCAAAAAGAAATTTAAATGCTATGATTAATTACAAACATAGACTATTTATATATTATACGGTAAAATTTTGAAATCACGTCATCAATTTTTTTAGGGTTGATAAACAGATACATTTTGATTAAAAAATTACCAGGATTATAATAATTTCAAAACGTCTACAAGAATTAAAAGTATTCAGTTTTCTTGATTTAATCAATAAAATAATCAGTCATTAATTTTTTGACGCAGCCCATATAAACAGATCAAAAAAATATGACTGCAGTGATAAATCACAACCATTAACTCATCATACTTTGCACATTTAAGACAGGATTTATTCAGCAAAATTTTGAGGTGACG